CAGGAATTCGAGATCAGCCTGGACAGCAGAGCAAAACTTTGTCTCTACAAAAAAATCACAAAAAAAAGTTAGCCAGGCATGGTGGTGTGTGCCTATAGCCCAAGTTACACGGAATGCTGAGGTGGAAGGGTCGCCTGAGCACAGGGTGTCAAGGCTGCCGTCAGCCGTGATCATTCCACTGCACTGCACTCTAGCCTCGGTGACAGAGTGAGTCCTGGACTCAAAAAAAGAGAGAAAAAAAGACTGGAGGGTTGAAAGCAGAAGTCAAAATACTTAAGTCCCCACTGAGTCAAGTTTAATGAGTGATAAATAATACTACCTCTTAAAGAAGCTGTTGAACAATTAATCGTGCCTATAGAAGTTGGTTTAAAATGTAGGTTTTTTTGTTCAGCTGAATTAATTCACCCTTAAACATATAAGACAGTCACTGCTATCAGTCAGAGTTGGGCCCAGTGGCCTTACCTGCCCAAGCCATTGAGAATAAAAAGGCAAAATCAGGTTCACACCTGTAATCTCAGTACTTTGGGGAGCCAAGGCAGGAGTGCTTGAGTCCAGGAGTTCAAGACCAGCCTGTGCAACATAGCAAGACCTTGTCTTGTCTCTACAACAAGTCAAAAAGTTAGCCAGGTATGGTGGCACATGCCTGTAGTTCCAGCTACTTGGGAGGCTAAGGTGGAACAATAACCTGAACCCAGGAGGTCAAGGCTGTAGTGAGCCCTGACTGTGCCACTGCACTCAGCCTGGGTGATAAGAATGAGACCCCAACTCAAAAAAGAAAAAGAAAAAAAAAAGGCAAAACCATTTATTGGGTCAGGAACCGCTGCACATATTTACTGCAGTGAATTTTAGGCACGGTTTTCTGGCTTTGCAAAGTCACACCCTCACTTGTGGCTGCAAGCCTGGGAACTTTCTCCATGGAAAAGACATGCATCAGCACGTTTACCCTCTAGACAAACATCCTTCCATACTCCAGAAGTCTAGAATTCAATTATTTTACACTTAAAAACAGTATGTGCAAATTTTATGGAAAATTTGTATTACAGAGTCAAAGCAAAATGAAAAAGAATTCATATTATTTTTGAAATATGCTTCAATAATGATTGCTCATTTATAACAGAAACTACATTTTTCTCCTAAAATTGCATCTTGTATAATGAAGTGTAATACTCTTCCTTTTCTTATTTTCAATCCCTTGTAGACCTTTTTTTTAAAAAACAAGAGTATTCTTAGAATCAAGTCATAACTCTAAAAACATTTGAAAGATACATTCATTTCCCGTACAGCACAAAAGACATACAAATATCATTTATCCCCTTTAAACAATGAAATTAAAGAAGTTAACATTTATCCTTTTGTCCATAGAAAAATATTTTCTATATCATTTACACAACAAAGATAGGAAAATTCTACAGTGTCTAATTGAAACTTTCATGAGCTTAACAAGGCTTTCAAACATTTTTATTCTTGCACTGGAAATGTGAAAAGGTTTTAGGAAGCTATACATTTGATCTTTCCCCTATAAGTGTAGTCTTTACCTAGTAATATTGCTAATACCATTCATTTTATAAATATTTAAAAATTGATTTATGCAACGAACCAATGCTAAAGGATGGCATCCTGGCAGTTATTACTTCTGGCTGCCCATTTAGCTAGATTACTAAAATAAAAATTACGATGATTACAAAACTTCAGAAATCAACAGTATACTGCAGTAGAAAAACATAAATAGCAGCAAGTTTATATACGGAAATAGAAATAACTATTTGGCATCCACTTGTAACAAATTCACCAAAATAGTAAAAATAACATGTCTAATTTATGGCAGAAATAGGGATGGAAGTCTATATACAACAAAAGCTTGTGTTGATAATAGTTGTAGACACAATCAAGTAAGTTGAAACAAAAACATATAATCTAGATTAATTTCTTGGGCTCTTGATAAAATTCCTGAAAGTAGATATTAGCAGTTAGCCCTCAAAAATGTTTTAGGATTATGCTTCTTTGTATTGACACAATTTTCTAAGAATTTTACAAAATAGTTGGTAAAACTTATATGGTGACCACACTAAGACACCAATAAACCTTTGCCAACAGTTCAGTAATTCTGATATTTGATAAAATTAATCCAGTAGGTTTTAATAACATAGCTATTTCACTTGAAGGAAGCACCACAAAAAAATGGTTCCAGCAATTGTGGTTGGACAGGTGAAGCAACTGTGGGAAGTAAGCAATGTGAACACAAGGTTTGTACTTTGCTGATGTGGCAGCTTACATAAAAGCAGGCTATAGCATAATTTATCTATGTCCTATTATATTATTGAGATGTTTATTCCAACAAATATCTATCATAACGTATTTACTATAAGTGACTAAAATGCAAATTCACCTGAACTCTAAATAATTACTACAAAATAAAAGAGCCTGTAAACATATCCCACATTATTGTGGTATAAATAATTTTTATGAATTCAAAACTACTTTGGCAACCTTATTATCAGAGTATTTTAAATATTTAAAATACAGGTATTAAATAGCACATTTCCTTCTCCCTTCCTGACAAGATTATAAAATAAGTAATGCTTTATTTAATTCTATGTTCACATTATGAACATAAATTATTTCATTATAAGTAGACATGTGTTCTAAATCTTAGTTCTATGTTGTACATGCTTTTAAAGATTAGTCTTCTAGTTGGAGTCCAGAATGTTTTCACACTGCATGTATATCAGCCTAACACTTTACAAAAGCTATTCTCTGTCAGGGAAGCATGACTAACATACTTAGTCGGGTCCTAATGAGGATCGGTTTTTGAAGGTGACTTATTTTCTAACTTGTGACATCTTCTAAGGTCATTGTAGTTATTAAAACACTGCCTGAGTATGCTTCTCTAGTTGAAACAGACAGAAATTCACAAGAATTTATGATATTCATAGAGGCTATAAATTAACTGAAGCTCCAAGATGATACAGAGAATACTAGATGGAGAATTAGAAAGCAGACTGTAAAAGACTAGACTGCTAAATCATTAACATTGTGGGGGTCTCTGTTACTTTGCCTACAATAATAAGGGAAGTGAAGATTGAACAATATCTTTCAAGTTCATTTCAGCACTCAAGTTGTAGTACTTCTAGTGAAGATAGAAGACAGGAGACTTGCTCAAGTATTTGACTAGACCTGATCAGATTTGCCAACAGATGTTAAACAACCCTGTAGTTAAAAATAATCCTTTTCCTCTGTTTGTGGGCATAGTGAAACACATATATACGTAGATGCACAAAAGCATCTCTGTGTGTGTGTGTGTGTGTATACACACACACATATCCATATATGTACTTGAAACCTTCAGGCAACTGTTTTAATGGCTTATCATACCTTTGCACATTTAAAGTCAGTTTTCATATAATAAATGCTCTTTGCTCCTAATTAAGATGATCAACAATGCTCCCACCTCCTTTCCCTCCGAACAGGCTGTGGAAAGGAAATTATTTCTTAGGCTATTTATTCTGCTTCATTTTTGAATGGATGTATTGGTTTGACAAACACTATTAAGTCTTTTTGTGAATGTAGTCCATTCCAAATATTTTCATCCTATTTACATAGTGCTGACACAAATCAGATGCTCATTAAAACAACTAAAATAAACATGGGAAAACCATCCTAAATCAGAAGGGAAAGGTTCCCACAAATACTTTTTAGCATTTACTAAAGCTGCTTGATTCACCAATATTGATTTCCACTTGTCAGAATAAAAGTCAGCATTGCTTTCTTAAGTGTATGGTGGCACAGGGACGGGAAGTTGGTGACTAGAAGTTAGAAACAAAAGATTTGGCATTTTATCACAATTATATTGATATGGATGGAATCTAGAACTACTTGGTGTACGAAAGCTAGAATTATTTTTAAAAACCTATTTAGATTGATATACAGGTTAAAAAATTCTTAGATGTAATGGATAAAGTCTTATCTGTTCAGTAAACAGGGAAGGATAATTAGCATATTCACTTTAAAAAGTTGTGAAGGATAATTTAAATTGAAGATCCTTATAAATATGCTTTTAAAAAAGGATCTTTCTGTACATAAAAATACAGAGGGTAGCTCCCACATGAAAAATTCATATATGAGAAATTAGACATTGATGATTTAAAAAGGCAGTAGTACTCACTGCCAAGAAATTATTAGAGTTAACCTCAAAAGTGTAAACAAAGCCCTAAATTAAAGAACATGCCAACCATGACATTTGTCTATTTATGTCTACACAACTGTACCTTTTGGTCTATGGTTGCCATATTTTGTCCATACCAGTAGAACAGACAGATTTTATTTTTTAATTCAGGTGAAAAACAACTGCCAAAACACTTATTTTTCTTTGTCACTTTTCAGCTTATCATGATGGTATATAGCAGCCTAAATTACATTTATCTGTTGGTAGAGAATAGAATGTTCACATAAGATTATAGTGAATTTATTATTTCATACTGTCTTGACTGTGAAATCAGGAAACAGAGAAAAGAATTTCTCTTTGACATAAAGGTTATGTTTACTTTTCTTTAAAAAAAGACTTAAAATATTTTAATAAGATTATTTATTTGGTATCGTGGCTATTAATGTTTAGGAGCTTCATTTCCTGAAATTTAGTATTATGGATAGTGAACATTGAAAGTGACATAATTTAGATTGTACTGAAGATTTTAAGTGTACGCTTTCTCCCATACGACATGGCATTCCAAAATATCTGCCACTTGACTCTAAACTTTATCAAGACTATACAGAAATATTCAGAAACCACTAGGAAATGAATCTTTTAAAACCACAATCCACGTAAAATAATTTTGTATAATAACATTTGAGCAGATGAGCAAATTTTCATTTTTCTTAAACTGGGCAATTTAAAGTTCTATCTCTTTGTAGACTTAAAAAAAAAAAAAAAAAGGCCCGAAGAGGAAAACATACACACTCTTAATGGGAATCAGATCCTCCATTAGGTTGGACACTCAAAAGTCTCCTTATTAACAAGCTTATAGTTTAATAAGCATATAAAAATGGAATAATTTAATTGTACATAAAGATGACAAGAAGTTAATGAGGGATTACATTTAGAAATAAGTCATAATGTTTCATTCCTCATTTGAAGAATCCCAATCAATAGACCAGTGTGAACAAACCTTGATATTAACTAAAATGAGTCCAGTTGAGTAATATTTTAGCTATAGATGGGATAAATCACAATTAATTGCTCTAATTTTGGAGTCTTAATATGCTTAACATCAATGTGCATGTTAAGTCATCATTTCTAAAGTTAGGGATAAAAATAAATATAAAATTTGAAGAATAAAGCGTCTTTTAAAGTTGAGCTGCTAAACTGTAACCCCTGTCCTTTAGTAAAGGAATGTGCAGACTTTGAACAATTCCATAGCAGCAGAGGTGCACTCAGTAGAACACAAACTATCTTTGCTTCTTATAGCAAATCACAAGTATTGAGTAAGAAATACAATTTCCTTACTCTTCTTTGACTGTATAACACTCAACATAAGAAGCTGTTTTTTAAAATGTGAACTTATTCAAAATGCATATAAATGTAAGAATGTACAATATACATACAAACCTCCTAGCGGGGTCAAATGAGTGCCTTTTCGTTAGACATACAAAGATGTCTCAAGGCACTTAAGGGGTTAAGACACAATGCATGCATTCCTTTACATCAAGTATATGAAATCACATGATTTGGAATAAGCCAACCTTATGATAAATATAAGTTACATTATTAAATCCAAGAAAATCTGTAGATTCATATTCATACTTTCTATAAGATGCTGGTAAATGGACAATGTGCAGCATTTCCTGGGAACAGCGAATTCCATCTTTCTTCTTTTGAACAGCAGGTCTCTAGAGGGGGCGTGGAGGAAAAAATGTGCTGCATCCATAGGCAGTGTATTGGCTAATATTAAGAATGATATTGCTAAATTTTAAAAAATAAAATCTGGCAATCATTATAAGTAAGTACGTGAACCATTGGAAAAGACCAGAGCTGACTCTTGATGTTTCCTTCTTGTTGCTTTCAAGATACAAGCGTATGACAGAGATGATAATGAGCCTTGTTTGTGGCAATTCTATCAAAAGGGGACTGCATGGCACCACCACAAAATTTCATAAATTACCCTGAACATACTCAGTTATTCACTATTTGTTCGGAGCAAAGCATGAAACAGTCTTCAAACACACGAGTTATAGATTTGAAAGAGTAACTTTTTTAAACATAAAGTGCAACAGTGCTGAAGTTTTCAAAGTTTTTTTGAGTTCTTCATTTTTTTGTTAGATGCCATTTCCTGCAAGCAGTATTACGGCATAGTGAATATAAGGAAAAGCAGTTTTCCAACACATATCCCAGACCTTTTGAGTTCTTATTTATTTGATGATGTTGTTAAAGGTTTAACAAAGCCTTCTTCATAAACTTTCAAAATAGCTTCACATACAAATCTGTATTGACTCTGAAAAATAAAATATAAAATAGAATTTATCAGAAAACCCAGAAAACCAAAAAATATTTTTTAAAAATGACAAACATCTCACTAGGCTTGTTTATTAAAAAATGCAAAGTGAAACTGTATAAAGATACTATTTCACAAACAGACTGGTTAAAATATAAACATATTTGACAACATATTTTGTTGGCAAAACTTACTCATATGTTACTGGTAGGGATGTTAAAATACTGCAACTCCCATGAAGGGGAATTTGGCTGCATATAACAAAACCGAATTAATTTACCTTTTGACCCAGGATTCCTACTCCTAGATAGCTGTCCAAAAGATCAAGGAAAACACATACTCACAAATGAAGCTTTTGTGGAAAGATGGGAACAATCCAGTTGCTGACAACAGGGAGGGGGCAACTAATCTATGTACATCCTCACAATGGAATGCTATCTAGTTGGGAAAAAAGGAATACAAGTCTATAGACTAATATAGAATGACTTCAGGATATTTTATTAAGTTAAAAAAGCAAGGTAGAGAAAAGTATGCTCGTTATATTTATAAGAGGAAGGTGGAGAGAATACAAATGTCTATCTTTGTATATGTTGAGGAAAACAAGAAGCAAGGAGGGATAAATCATTAAAAAATGTTTTCCTAAAATGGGATGCAGGGAAAAGGGAGCAGAAGGACAGAGACAGGACTTCATTAAATGTATCTTCCTTCAGCACATAATTACAAAAGTAATTTGAAAAATACCTTAAAAATTGGATCTAGTTGATGACATAACTATATAGGGGTGAGCTATTTCAAGGGACTTTAAAATAGTAATTTACTCAGGTGTGGTGGCTCACACCTGTAATCCCAGCACTGTGGGAGGCAGAGCCAAGAGGACTGCTTGAGTCCAGGGGTTTGAGACCAGCCTGGGCAACCTGGTGAGACCTTGTCTCTACAATAAATAAAAAAATTAGCCAGGCATGGTGGTGTGCGCCTGTAGCTCCAGCTACTTGGAAGGCTGAGGTGGAAGGATTGCTTGAGCCCAGCAGGTGGAGGCTGCAGTGGCCCTGAGCATGCCAATGCCCTCCAGTAGCCATACTGCTTATGGTGATAGTGTCATTAGTACAGTTATTCTGAAACCGTTGTGCAATGTGCTCTAAAATAAATGAGTGCTTGTAATATTCTAAGTCTTTCACTACTGATATGTAGAGAATCAGTATTCTTGTTAGAGAAGAAAGGAGATAAAAATAAGTAAGATAAAAGAAGTTAAGTAGTAAGAACACTGTGGTCCTCAATTTGTCCTGGAAATGTCAGCATTAACCCATGATAAAGTTATTTTCCTGGTTCTGGCAACTGAACATTTTTAGGGACAAATATTAATTCAAGCAACATAAATTCCTAGTGCTCAAAAGGTGGTGTCTAAACGACTTTTCAATAAAAAGAACCAGAACTTCGTGGAGAAACTACTGATTCCAAATCTGAGACATGACATATGCAAAGCAGGGACTGGACATCTTTTCAGACAGTAAAGAAGAAGCTACCAAAGTTACTAGTGTCTTGACAAAAGGATCCAGGAGCCAAGCTGAATAGGATCTTACCGAGTAAAATTGGGACAGTTTGTTTAATGGGTATAGAGTTTTTGTTCTGTAAGATAAAAAAGTTTTAGAGATTGGTGGCACAACAATAGAAATATACTTAAGCCGGGCCCGGTGGCTCAGCCTGTCATCTCGTGCCTTGGGAGGCCAAGGTGAATGGACTGCCTGAGCCCATCGGTTCGAGACCCACCTGGGCAACTTGGCGAGACCTCATCTCTACAATAAATCAAAAAAATTAGCCGGGTGTGGTAGTGCGCGCCTGTAGTTTCAGCTACTTGGGATGCTGAGGCGGAAGGATTGCTGGAGCCCAACAGGTCAAGGCTGCAGTGGCCGGGAGCGGCCACTGCACTCCAGTATGGGCAACAGAGTGAGACTCCAACTCAAACAAAACAAATAAACAAACAAACAAAAAAGCAAAAAAGAAATATACTTAACACTACTAAACTGTATTCTTTACAATGGGTAAATTATGTGTATTTTACAATAATTAAAACAAAAAATCCTACTATGTATGAATATAGTAGATATAAAACCAAGAAAATGCTACCAAACCAAATCAAGCAATCTATAAAAATAATTATACACTATGTCCAAGTGAAATATATCCCAGAAATGCAAAATTAGTTTAATATCTAAAAATCAATCAATGTAATGAATTAATAGAATGAACACCTTTTCATAATGAAAACACCTAACAAACTAGTAATAGAGGGAGCATGTTCAACTTGATAAAGGGCATTTATAAATAACCAATGGCTACTATGATACTTAGTGGTGAAAATCTGAAAATGTTCCCCCTAAGATGAGGAAGAAGACAAGTGTTCTGGTTTTACCACTTCTATTCAACACTATACAGAAGTTGTTAGCAAGGATGTTTATACAAGAAAAAAAAAGAAAAAGGAAAAAGAAAAGAGGCATCTAGATTGGAAGGGAAGAAGTAATTTTTATCTCTATTTGCAGATTACATGATTTTGTAAATGAAAAATCCTAAGAAATTCACTCTCCCACACCAACAACTATTGGTTAATAACTCACTTCAGTAAAGTTGAGGGATACTCGATCAATATACGAAATTGATTGTATGTTTGGGCCCTAGTAATAAACAGTCCTAAAAAGAAATTAAGTAATAAGACTAACAAAATTAAGTGCAAAATTACATGCTGATAACTATTAAAAAAAAATTGAAAGAAATTCAAGAGGACCAAAATAAACAGAAAAACAATTCTGTGTTCATAGTTTGGAAGATATAACATCATTAATATGGCAATGCTTTCCAAAATGATCTCTAGATTCAACACAATCTCTATAAAAATTCTGGTTGCCTTTTTTTTTTTTTTTTTTTACAGAAAAGAAGACTGATATGAAATTCATATGAAAATGCAAGGGACCCAAACAGCTTGAACAATTTTGAAAGAGCTAGGGATTCAAAATTCCCAAATTTAAATTATAAAACAAAGCTATAGTAATCAAGCCAGTTTAGAACTAGCATAAGAATAAAAATACAGATCAATGGAATATAATTAAAAGTCCAGAAATAAACCCTTTTATCTGTGATCAACCGATTTTTGACAAGAGCCCTGAGACAACTCAGGGAGAAAGAACAGCCCTTTTAACAAATGGGGCTTCTATAATCCCAGCACTTTGGGAGGCCAAGGTGAGGTGAATGCCTGAGCCCATGGGTTTGAGACCAGCCTGGACAACTTGGTGAGATCTCATCTCTATAATACATCAAGAAACACCTAGCTTCAGTCAGGATGGCTATCATCAATAACTCAAAAAACAACAGATGCTGGAGAGGATGTGGTGAAAAGGGAACACTTCTACCCTGCTGGTCGGACTGGAAACCAGCACAGCCTCTGTGGAAAAAAGTGTGGTGATTCCTAAAAGATCTAAAAATCAACCTTCCATATGACCCTGCAATCCCCCTACTGGGAATATACCCGAAGAAACTCAAATCACTCTATAAAAAAGATACCTGCACACATGTTTATCGTAGCATTGTTTACAGTAGCAAGTACATAGAACCAACCGTGCTGCCCATCAAAAGAGGACTGGATTAAAAAAATGTGGTACATATACACGATGGAATATTACACAGCCATGAAGAAAAACAAAATCATGACCTTCACAGCAACCTAGATGGATTTAGAGATTGTAATACTGAGTGACCTTTCTTTCTTTCTTTCCAAAGAACTGAGTATCACATGTTCTTAACTCATAAGTGGACCTTGAACAATTAGCGTAATACTATAAGAAAACGATTGTCAGTAGTGGGAAGTTGCCAGTGGGGGTGAGAGGGCGAGATTGGTAGTAGTGGGATTCTGCCAGGGGAGGAGGAACACGCCTCATCAACAAGGGGACCTGCATAATGAACATTTGTATACCTAACCCTAAATTGTACCCCACATCTTTAAAATAAAAAAATAAAATAAAATAAATCAAGAAAAATTAGCTGGGCATGGTGGCGCATGCCTGTAGTTCCAGTTACTTGGAAGGCTGAGGTGGACGGATCATCTGAGCCCAGCAGGTCGAGGCTGCAGTGGCCATGAGCGTGCTACTGCCCTCCAGCCTGGGCGACAGAGTGAGATTCCTACACAAAACAAAACAAAACAAAACACCAAATGGGACTGGGACACTGGGTATCCTCATGCAAAAGAGTGAAGTTGGAATCCTACCTCAAAACATACACAAAAATTAACTCAAAAGAATCATCGCCCTAAATGTGAGAGGTAAAATTATAAAACTCATAGAAGAAACGGAAGAGTAAATCTTTGGTGACCTTGGGTTATGCAATGCTTTTTCAGCTATGACAACAAAAGCATAAGTGATAAAGGAAAAAATAGGTAAAATGAACTTTATCAAAATAAAAAGCTTTTGTGATTCAACTAATATAATCAAAAAATGAAAAAATATTTGCAAATCATAGATCTGATAAAAAATTTGCATCCAGAAAATATAAAAAACCCTTATAACTCAACAATAAAATGACAGCCCAATTAAAAAATGGACAAAAAACTTGAACAGTTATCCAAAGAAGATACACAAATAAATGATGAATTATTACATGAAAAGATGCTTGGCCAGGCTTGGTGGCTCAGCCTGTAATCCCAGCACTTTGGGAGGTCGAGGTGAGTGGATTGCCTGAGCCTGCGGGTTCGAGACCCACCTGGGCAACTTGGCAAGACCTCGTCTCTACCATAAATCAAAAATTAGCCGGGCATGGTAGCTCACACCTATAGTTCCGGCTACTTGGAAGGCTGAGGCGGAAGGATCGCCGGAGCACAGCAGGTCGAGGCTGTGGTTGCCGGGAGTGTGCCATTGCCCTCCAGCCTGGGCAACAGAGTGAGACACCAACTCAAAAAAAAAAAAGAAAAGATGCTTAACAACACTGGTTCTTAGGGAAATGCAAATAAAATTCACGAGATACCACTTTATGTCCAGTAGGATAGCTAAAATAAAAAAGACAATAACAATTGGTGAGATGTGGAGAAAGCAAAACTCTCACACACTGCTAGTGAAATTGCAAAATCATACAGCCAATTTGGAAAAGTCTGGTAGTTCCTTCAAAGGTTAAACATAGAATTATCACGTGACTGCTCTCAGTATACCCAAGAGAAATGAAAACATATGTTCACACAAAAAATTACACACAAAAGTTCACTGCAGCACTATTCATAATAACCGAAAAGTTGGAAACAATCAAAATGTCCACTAACAGATGAGTGGATGAACAACATGTGGTATATCCATGTAGCAAAATATTACTCAGCAATAAAAAGGAATGAAGTACTGATACTACAGTATGGATAAACTTTCAAATATGCCACTTAAAAAAAATCAGTTACAAATGACCAAATAGTATGAGCACATTCAAAAATGAAAGGTCCAGAATAGACAAATCTATGGAGACAGAAAGTAGACTAGTAATTGCCTAGGCTGGAGGTTGGGTGGAGGTTAGGAAGGGTATGAAAGGAAAAGGGAATAACTGTTAATGAGTGTGGAGTTTCTTTTTGGGGTGATGAAAAGCGTTCTAAAGTACAGAGTAGTGATGGTTGCAAGTCTGGTGATACACTAGAAACCACTCAACTGTATACTTTAGATTTATTTATTTATGCATTTATTTATTGATTGAGTTGGAATCTCATTCTGTCAACCAGGCCGAAGTACAGTGGCACGCTCACAGCCACTGCAGCTTTGACCCTCTGGGCTTAGGGGATCCTTTCATCTCAGCCTTCAAGTACCTGGAACTAAAGGTGTACGCCACCATGCCTGGCTAATTTTTCTTGATTTATTGTAGAGATGAGGCTCAGGTTGGTCTTGAACCCCTGGGCTCAGACAATCTTCTCACCTCAGCCTCCCAAAGTGCTGGGATAACAGGCATGAGCCACCATACCCGGCCCTGAGCTGTATACTTTAAAAGGGTGAGTTTTTTGGCATGTGAATTATATTTTAGACATGATTTTTATGAAGCAACTAGAAATTTGAATACTGGTTATTTGACAATATTAAGGAACTATTAACTACATTTGGATGTGACAATGGTGCTGTATTTTTGTTTAAAAGGAAAAACAATCCTTATCTTTTAGTCATATATACAAAAATATTTATGGACAAATTGATATGATGTCTAAGATTTGTTTCAAATATGGGGAAAGTGAATAATTATAGGTGAAGCAATATGGTAAATGCTGGGTCTGAGTATGAACATGGTATTGATTACACGATATTATCTACTTTTGTATATGCTTAAAATTTTCTATAATTAAAAACAAAAAAATTGACAGGCACTTACTAGATCATGCAGTTCAATCTGCTTTGAGTAATCTTACTACTATCAACAATGCTAATATTTCACAACAGCTTAATTAATACAAAGATAATCTTTTTATTTATTTATTTATTTAAATTTTTAATTTTTTTTTGAGTTGGAGTCTCACTCTGTCGCCCAGACTGGAGTGCAGTGGCCGCGCAGCCTCGACCTGCTGGGCTCCGGCGATCCTTCCGCCTCAGCCTTCCGAGTAGCTGGAATTACAGGCATGCGCTACCACGCCCGGCTGATTTTTTGATTTATTGTAGAGATGAGGTCTCGCTGCCCAGGCGAGTCTTGAACCCGCGGGCTCCGGCAATCCACTCACCTCAGCCTCCCAAAGGCGTGGGATTACAGGCCGAGCCACCGAGCCCGGCTGCAAAGATAATCTTTTTTTTTTTTTGAGTTGGAGTCTCACTCGGTCGCCCAGACTGGAGTGCAGTGGCCGCTCCCGGTCACCTCAGCCTTGCCTGCTGGGCTCCGGTGATCCTTCTGCCTCAGCTTTCCGAGTAGCTGGAATTACAGGCATGCACTACCACACCTGGCTGATTTTTTGATTTATTGTAGAAATGAGGTCTCGCTGCCAAGGTACAAAGATAATCTTAACACTAACTCTAAAATTCCATGATTCTTTTCTTGATTCCTGGAGTATAATTAGAAGACACTAAATAAGTACTTTAATTTCTATAACTTGTTGCAATTTAAGTTCCAACATAAAAAAGAAAAACAATTTCACCACAGCTGTTTTACAGAAAGCAGGTCTATCAAGATTCTCCAGGTCAGAGATACTATCATTTTCAGTATCCTATTTGACTAAGTAAGACAAAGTAAGTCCCTCTGTACCTGTTTAAGTGCTCAAGATTTAACATGCTAGGTAATCTGTATGTTGGCAAAAGTTTGTCTGTAAAAGGTTAGATCTTTAAATATTTTAGAAATTGTAGGCCATGTGTCACTATTGCAACTTTTTTTTTTTTTGTTGAGTCAGAGTCTCACTCTATTGCCCAGGTTGGAGTACAGTGGCATGCTCACGGCCACCCCAGCATTGACCTGCTGGGCTCCAGAGAGCCTTCCAAGTAGCTGAACCACAGGCACGTGCTACCACACCCAGCTAATTTGCAACTTCTTAACTCTACTGTTGTAGTACAAAAGTAGCCATGGACAAATGAGCATGGCTGTGTTCCACTAAAACTTTATTTACAAAAACAAGTGGCAGGCCAGACATGGCCAGTGGGCAGTGGTTTGCTGACCCCCTGTGGCTATGGCTTATTAGCTCCTGACAATGAATTAAAAAAATAAAAATATGATTTAGAATACACATTGGAGTCTATAATACTCAGTGATTTATCACAGAAACAAAGATCTGAGTGCTATATGTACTCACTCATAAGCGGACCCTGAACATTTATCATAAGAGTATAAGAAAGGAGCTGGTGGTAGTGGGACACTGCCCGCGGAGTGAAGGGCACATAACATCAATAAGGGCACCCACACTTTACCTGCAGATGAACCTAACCCTGAATCGTACCCTGCATCTTTAAAATAAAAATAAGAAAATTTTCAGTTTAATCTTTAATACAGTAAATTTCAACAGATAACCCCCCCACGCAACGACCACAATTGGTAACGCAAAGCATCATGCTGTGAAGACACACTTGTGTATGAAGTACAGTACGTACAGGTGTTTGAATCATCATGGCTCGTTGATCTCTCATTGTTCTTACAATGTCTAGTGGATAAACTGGCTGGTTGCATTCAATGAGACACATGGCTGTTTCCATAGTAATAAGAACCCCAGTTCTTCCGATTCCAGCACTAAAAAAGACAAATTCAGGCAAGGCCTTACTGACAGCATTATGCGAAATCAGCAGTCCCCAACCTTTGTGGCACCAGGAACTGGTTTCGTGGCAAACGTTTGTCCGTGGGGCAGGGGTGGGGCCCCCCTGAGAATCCAACGGGCCCCTCAGAGCCCCGCTCTCCTACCGCTCGCCTTTTGCCGTCTGTGTGGCCCGGTTCCTCACAGGCCAGGGCTGGTGCCAGCCGCAGCCTGGGGGTGTGGGCCCCTGTGCTAAACTACTTGTGGCTTTTGTGCAGAAAACTGCCTTATCACACAAAAGAACAATCTAATTTTAATTTTTTTTTTTGAGTTGGAGTCTTACTTTGTGGCCCAGGCTGCACTGCAGTGGCATACTGCTCACAGCTACCACAGCCTCAACCTGCTGGGCTCAGGTGATCCTCCTGCCTCAGCCTTCCTGGCAGCTGGAACAACAGGCATAAACAACTGTGCCCGGCCATCATTTTAATGTTTTATATTGTAAAAGTAGCAAGCCAACTACAGAATATTTTGAAAACAGAAAAAAGTACTCTTTTTTTTTTTTTTTGAGTTGGAGTCTCACTCTGTCACCCAGACTGGATTGCAGTGGCCACTCCTGGCCACCACAGCCTCGACCTGCTGGTCTCTGGTGATCTTCCTGCCTCAGCCTTCCGAGTAGCTGGAACTACAGGCGCGTGCTACCACGCCCGGCTAATGAAAAAAGTACTCTTAATGACTCATTTAATATTGATCATCTTCTATCTCCCCCATCCAATGGTAGTAGAAAAAACACTATTTTAAAAGAGCTACATTTCAGTTTTTAAAGCTTAAACAATGTATAGCTTAATAGAACCACCCTCCTTTAAAATGCAAAATGCAGAATTACAGTGATACTGTTAGTTTTTTAATAATAAAAAAAATTTTTTTTTTTTTGAGTTGGGAGTCTCACTCTGTCGCCCAGACTGGAGTGCAGTGGCCGCTCCTGGCCCTCGCAGCCTCGACCTGCTGGGCTCCGGCGATCCTTCCACCTTAGCCTTCCAAGGAACTGGAACTACAGGCACATGCTACCATGCCCGGCTAATTTTTGATTTATTATAGAAATGAGGTCTTGCCAAGTTGCCCAGGCGGGTCTCAAACCCACGGACTCAGGCAATCCACTCACCTCAACCTCTCAAAGACACGGGATTACAGGCTGAGCCACTGAGCCCGACTAATAAAATTTAAATTAAACCTTACCACTGAGATAATCAAGAATAATTTTTTGAAGTCTAATCTGTGAACATGAATGTAGTAGCTACCAGAGACTTAGAATATAAAACAGTCAAATGTGTTTTGCCATTCTTGCCACTTTGCCTTTCAAATTTTGGTCCACAATCTGTTTTGAAGATCTGAAAACCTACTTTGTGTGTGTGTGTGTGTGTGTGTGTGTGATTTTTTTCTTGATTCCATTAATGTGATGTATCATATTTGTTTATTTATTTGTTTATTTTTTTTTTTAAGTGAGAAAGCAGGATTTATTGAGAGGACAGAAAAGCTCCCACAGTGGGAGGGGACCCGAAGGGGTTGCCTGAAAGCCTACTCTTAAAATGTATGGAAAAGTTGAAGGATAAAAAGATATCTCAATATATTCTCTGGATAAGTCAAAGGTGGTCATAACAGGGAGGGAGTAATTTGTCTCCTAAACTCTGGTTCAGCAGCTATGAAGTTATTGTATTTGGCCCTTTAAGGGCACAAAGGGACCTTGGTCTGAAAGAAAGGAAGGATAGCCTGCCATTGTTCACCTAGAGTTCTTGAAGTAGTATATCCTATAATGACACTTGGTAGGCCATTCCAAGGGAGGTCAGAATACTCAATGAATGTCCTAAAGGGGGCCAGAGGCAAGGAAGAAGGGAGAGAATCTAAATCTTAGGCTGCAACTTAATATCCATGCTATGGTCTGAATGGGTCTCCCAAAATTCATATGTTGAAACATCACTGTCAGTGGGATAGTATTAAGAGGTGGGACCTTTAGGAGGTGATAAAATCATGAGGGCAGAGCCCTCATGGATGGGATTAGGCCCCTTATAAAAGGACCTGAGGGAGCTGGTTCATCTTTCTGTCCCTTCCACCATGTGAGGAAACATTTGTCTCCTATAGAGGATGTAACAAAAAAGTGTAGCAAAAAAAGTGCCATTTTGGAAGCAGAGAGTAGTCATCATTAGACATTGAGCCTGTGGACACCCTGTTTTTGAACTTCTGAGCATCCAGAACTATAAGAAACACATTTCTGTTCTGTATAACACAGTCTCAAATATTTTGTTATATTAATAAAATGGACTGAGTTAGCCTACAATTCTGTTTTTTCATAAAACCGAAGTTATTATAAATCATAAAACCAATGTCAGAGATGTCAAAATACAAAAAAGATGAGTTTTTAAAAATCAATGCCTTCAGTATTAGTTTTATCTCTTATGCCAGTGACGTGTTAGAACATATACTTTACCCTGTACCTTCAGAACACAGCTTTGAGTTCTGATTATCATAGTGACATAACGATATAAGGACAAAACAAAATATGATAAAATATGTATGTCCTTTTAAAATGATACACCAGGGGCAACCCCTTGGGGTCCCCTCCCACTGTGGGAGCTTTTCTGTCCTCTCAATAAATCCTGCTTTAAAAATAAAATAAAATAAAAATAAATAAATAAATAAAATGATACACCAGTCAGCTATATATATAAAAGACAGGAAACAGAATACCTGCAATGAACAACAACAGGTTCTTCTCTGCCGGCCCTCTTATTTCGTACATGACAAACAAAATCCAGGAAGTCACTTGAATCATCAGGGACTCCATGGTCAGGCCAGGCTATGTACTGGATTTGAGTGAGTTGACGACTCTCATTTTTCTAAGTGCAAACAAAAAATTATGTACCTTTACTTAGAAATTACATTTAAAAAAACAAATAAATATTCATGTCACTTTAATTTTAGAAGGAAAGCAAAACCAACTACTCCTTATCCCCAAAAGTGTAAACTCACTAAAACATAAACTTTCAATAAAAAAGAAAGAAACCATTTTATACAAAGCATTATATTCACTTAAGTATTGGGTACTTATATCATGCTCTTTTTATAACTCAGTTTCTATATTTATAAAGCATTTTTAAGATGATAATCAAGTAAACAGGTATAAACAAAGTAAGATCCAGAGAAATGCTTAAAGAAAGTTTAAGCACTGTTGGGTGAGCAAGAACGGTAAGAAACATTTTTTGTGAACAAAGTTGAATTAATCCTGATACAATGCAGATGATTAGTTATGAAAATCAGAAAAAGACCCACAAGATAAATATAGATTAAGGACTGGAGATGATAAAAATTCAAATTCAAATCAGGGATTAATTCTTTTTTGAGAAGTCAATGGTTGGTATAATGAACAGAGTAAGAGCACTGGGTTTAGATACATCTTGGTTCAAATCTTGACTCTGCCAGTTATGGCATTTAATATTTCAGAGCCTCACTTCTTCAACTGAAAAATGAAATAACATCTATACCTCAAAGTGACCATCTCATGCTAAAAAAAACTCCATGAGAGAACCTATATATCACCCAATCATCTACTTGGCACCATATGCTCAATGAGTGGTCAGTATAGTCATTCAATACTGTGAAATCTGGTTATTGCTATTTACATTAAAGAGGGCTTTCAGAAAAGATCATGAAAGTAAATCAAGACTTGGAGTAGTAATTGCTGTCGTCCATCCATCCATTCATGTATGTATTTATAGTAGCAAATTGATTTTCCCAGTTATGTATAGCTCAAATTTTAGAAACTAATTTGTATCATAGCATAGTTCTAAGATACTCGGGGTGTGTAAAGAAAAGCCACTATGGTATACAAAACTGCCATGGATAATCAATAGGTGAAGTATAATAGAATACACTGAAGATAGATATTATTGTATATAAACATACATGGTCTACCTTTAATTACTTGAGAAAATGGAAAGAACTAACTTGTTGGCTTGACCTGTTACATTAGACCATTAACTATATAATATATGTCCCTAAATCCTAAATTCATTCTGACAAAATCTCTAGCCCATTAAGATTTTGAATTTTAATTTAATTTTGTATTTCTTGTAAACTTAAGCTTCATTCAATGCTAGATTCCTTTTCTTATAAATTAGAACGTTTGGCTCCTCTCCTTTTTGGGGTTCCTTTAATCATACTCTTGTGGCAGGAGGTGAGGTGGAGTTCCCATTTCCAAAGTCTTGACGATTGATGAGATGGGCCTGGGTACTCATAGCTCATGCTGTTTGCTCTTCTCTAGCAGTTGTTTCCTTCTTCTTTTCGTCCCTTTCAAAACCAAGGGTGGCTGGCAGAGGAATATCTAGCTGCAGGCAGTACAAGTAGGGTACGTGGTCTCTAGTAGCCTGAAAGAACTGGCAGAATGATGCCTTCTGTATACACCTTCCAGTTGGAGTACTGAGCCATCCTTTATCAGTCAGTTTCCATTTCTGGCTTTGGATTTGGAAGCCAAGGGGACAGACGCAGGTAGAACTAAGAGCTGGCAATTAGAAAGCTACAATCTGCTGTCAGAAGATCCTAGCTATGACTTTTTCTTCCTTAATACTTAGGGGACTTTAAAGTTGTACTCCTTTACTCTTTTAAAAAAGGGAAATAAATTGATAGCTTTCAATGTTTTCCCCCCATTTCCACAGACATACTCAAATACTTTACTGATATTACTTAGAGTAAGAATTTTTTTTACAACCAAACACACCCCTGGTATAATTGTTCTGAACAGGCAAAGTAGGAGTAGTAATTAATATTATTTACCAGTCTCCTTTTTCACTGACCATTCATATTTAGCTGCAGAAATTGGAAATAATATTCATTACAGAATAGAGAATACTTTATTTTTATTATTATTCTTATACTGTAGATACATGGTATCCGCATTTTGCCTGGGCTGATCTTGAATTCCTGGCCTCAAGTAATCCTGCAACCTTGGCTTCCCAAAGCATTGCGATTACAGGCATGAGTCACCGTGCTTGGTCAGAATACTCTTCGTAAAATTTCAAAGGACTTCATAAAAGCAGAGAAATAGTTCAGTAATTTTTATAATATTTTCTAGTAGCCAGTACTCATAGTAGAAAACATTCTCAGCTTTAAAGTCCTTACCTAGAATATAATTCTAATGAAGGGATACCCTTCATTCATTCATTCTTACCTCTTGGTTAAACAGCGTCATCTTCCTGAAGACATAGGCCGCGTTCCCTTCTTCCGAGTGGCAGGTAACTTGGTAGCTTCCATAGGATGAACTTCCTGTGGGTTCTGGCCAATATTGGTGACATTTCACCTGATATTGATAGGATACACAAATTATGTACACTTGGACTTAAGTTCTCCAATTTTTAAAATGTAATTTTTCATAAACTTCAAACTTACAGAGAAGTTGCAACGACTTAAGGAATTTTCAAATACCCTTCACCTAGATCTGCCGACTAATAACAGTTTTTCTTTGTCATGTATTCCCTTTGTAATAGTAGGCAATCTGTTTCTATTTTGAGACTTCAAATATCTTGATTAAATTTTAAGCTTTTTAAACAGCTTGATTTATGATACATAATTCACATACCACACAAGTGACCCATTTCAAGGACACAATTGTTTTAGAATATTCAGAGCTGTGCAAACATCACCACAGTCACTTTTAGGACACGGTCACGACACCCAAAGAAGCCCCATTCCCATTAGTAGTCATATCGCGCTCTTACCCCATTTCTCCCCCCCTTCCCCCACACCTTGGATCCAGGCAACCGTTCATCTACTTCCTGTCCCCAAAGACTTGCCTAGGCCGGGCGCAGTGGCTCAAGCTGGTAATCCCACCACTTAGGGAGGCTGAGGTGAGGGGATTGCCTAGAGCCCACGGGTTTGAGAATAGCCTTGGCAACTTGGCGAGATCTCATCTCTACAATAAAATCAAAAAATTAGCCGGGCGTGGTAGCTCACGCCAGAGCTCAGCAGATCAACACTGGGGTGGCCGTGAGCGTGCCACTGCACTCCAGTCTGGGCAAAGGAGTGAGACTCCAACTCAAAAAAAAAAAAAAAAAAAAGATTTGCCTATTAAGGATATTTCATTTCAATGTAATCACATAATATGTGGTCTTTTTTACTTCTTTTACTCAGCACAATGAAAGAAAGGTTTTGATTTATATTTCCCTGATTAGTCAATGCATTTTCATCATCAGTCAATGTGGTTGGGCATCTTTTTTCATGTTCTTCTTAGCCATTTGTACATCTTCTTTGAATAACTGCCCATTCCGATCCTTTGCCCATTTTTAAATGAGATCATTTTACTGTTGAATTGTAAGATTTCTTTACGTACTCTTTAGATACAAGCTCCTTATTAGATACATATTAAACCCTTTAATAATAATGACAATAATGGCTAATACTTTTTTCATATTTATTATGTTAGTCACAGTTTTAAGCATGATGGTGTAAATCATAAATCCACAAGAAAAGAAGCTTAAAGGTTAGATAAGAGTAAATAAACATTAATTTAATTTAAAAGACTAAATCAACATATATCAAAGACTTTATATGTGCAATATGATTTTTAAAAGTCCAAGCAATGTGTAGAATTCAACTATGACTTACTCTGCCACGTTCAACTTGTGTGGTCAACATTACAACCATGGAGGAGCCTTGCTCCCAAGTCATCTGCCAGAAATCTGTGCAAGTGTGTGGTAATGGCCCTTGGCAAGCAATGTACTGATTTATAATGCTGGAAGAAGGAATTTCCATCTAAAAAGGAAAGGACATACAAATAAAATCTTTGGCATTATTACTTTTTACTATAATCAGTAATATTAAAATAATTTACTATCTGATTGTTAAATCGAATACAAATAATCTCAATAAACTGCAGTTGACTGGGCTCGCTGGCTCAGTCTGTAATCTCAGCACTTTGGGAGGCCGAAGTGAGTGGATTGCCTGAGCCTACACGTTTGTGACCAGCCTGGGCAAGGTGGCAAGACCTTTTCTCTACAATAAATCAAAAATTGGCTGAGCATGGCAGACGCGCCTGTAGTTCCAGCTACTTGGAAGGCTGAGGCAGAAGGACTGCTGGAGTTTAGCAGGCTGACGCTGGAGTGGCTGTGAGCTGGGATGGCTGTGAGCGTGCCACTGCACTCCAGCCTGGGCGACAGAGTGAGACTCCAACTCAAAAATAAAAAAATAAAAATAAACTGCAGTCAATAAAACAAATCTTTATTAACAGTTTATTTTATCTGTAGCAGAAATTTCTTGGCAATGTTCAGTGGTTATACATATTTACCTTTCAATTAGTGAATAGGAATTTAAATATTTTCCAAAACCCCTATTATGATTATAAGAGCAACTTTATTGAGAACTGTTTCAGAGGCAGAGACTTCATAAAGAAATAAATCTATCTGTAAATAGTTTATTGATAAAATCTGTGAGGAACAAAAATTCTGCCACTTGTTTTAGCTTAAATTATATATATATTTATATATATATAATTATATAAATATATATATAATTTATACATAGCAATTTAAAGAATACTAGAGTGAATAGAGAAAGACATCTCTTCTTCCATCTTAGTTTATGCTCTCTAGTTTACACCCAGGAAAGAAATCTTCATAGGTGATGTTACTTAGTGTAGTATATGACATATATACTAAAAAACCTTTCAAAATTCCATAAGTTCTGAATCTTAAAGCATATTTGGTCTAAGGTTTCAGATATAAGATGTAGACTTGTATGTAATATTAGCAAACTTTTTGATCTTTCAGTTTCATAGGTGAAATAGTAATTCCTTACAACAGTTTTGATTTGCACTTTTTCATAAATTGAATGTATTTTCATTTAACTGTGTTTGATATTGTTATTTTTCTGTCTTTTTCTTTTTGAGTTGGAGTCTTGCTCTGTCACCTAGGCTGGAGTGCAATGGCATGCTTATGGCCACTGCAGCCTTGACCTGCTTGGTTTAGGTGCTCCTTCTGCCTCAGCTTTCCAAGTAGCTAAAACTACAGGTGCACACCACCACGCCTGGCTTAATTTTTTACTGTAGAAATGAGGACTTGTTAAGTTGCCCAGGCTGGTCTTGAACTCCTGGGCTCAGGCAATCCTCTCACCTCTGCCTCCCAAAGTGCTGGGAATATAGGCATGAGACAGCATGACTGGCTGATATTGTTATTTTTTTAAGTGTATTGTGGTTTTGCAAAAAAAAAAAAAGAACTACTATTCAACATCATACAGAAAGTCCTAAAAGACATTCAAATCGGCAAAGAGGAAGTGAAACTACTGCCGTTCACTGATGACATGTTTGTATACCTAGACCCCCTAAAGGCTCCTCTCCGAGAGGCATCTAGACCTGATAAATGACTCTAGTAATGTCTGAGGGTACAGAGTCAGTATACAAAAGCCAGAAACATCTCTATATGCCAATAATGCTCAAGCCTAGAATAAAACCAAGAGCTCAGTCTCATTTATACTAGCTACAACAACAAAAATACAAGGAATACACTTAACCAAGGAGGTGAAAGATCTCTACAAGGAGGACTATAAAGCACTGATGAATGAAACTGTGGACAACGCGAACAAATGAAAGAACGTGCCACGCCCAGGGATGGAAAGAATCAATACCGTGAGATTGCCATACTGCTCAAAGCAATCCACACATTCAACTAATCACTATCAAAAAACCAACATCATGTTTTACAGAACTAGAAAAAACAATCCCAAAGTTTATATGGAGCCCAAACAGCCAAAACAATCCCTAAATAAAAAGAACAAATGTGGAGGTATCACACTGCCTGACTAAGTTATACTATAAGGTTATAGTAACTAAAGCAACATGATATTAGTACAACAACAGAAAGATATATCAATGGAATAGAACAGAGAAGCCATAAATATAGCCACATACCTACAACCAACTGATCTTTGACAAAAATAAATAATGGGAAAAGGATACCCTATTCAATAGATGGTGCTGGGAAAACCAGCTAGCCACCTGCAGAAGAATGAAACTGGATCCCTACCTCTCACCATATACAAAAATTAACTCCAGATGCATTAAAGACTTAAATATAAGACATGAAACTATAAAAATTCTAGAAGAAAACATAGGAAACATTCTTCTGGACATCAGTCTAGGCAAATAATTTAAGACAAAGACTCCAAAAGCAAATGTGACAAAGACATAAATAGACAAATTGGGATTAAACTAAAAAGCTTCTGTACAGCAAAAGCAATTATCAACAGAGTAAATAGAAAACTCACAGAATGGGAGAAAATATTTAAAAATTATGCCTCAGACAAAGGATTAATAGCCAGAGTCTACAAGGAACTCAAACAACTCAACATGGAAATAAAAAAACCTATCAAAAATTGGGCAAAGGACATGAATACACATTTCCCAAGAGACACACATTCATCCAATAAACATATGAAAAAATACTCAACACCACTAATCATCAGAGAAATAAACATTAAAACCACAATGAGATATCATCTTACACCAGGCAGAATGGCTATTATTAACCCTTTGAACTTGGAGATACCTCATGAATCACCTAACTAGCAACTCGACTGCACTTTTTAATGAAATAGCCAAAAAAGACTCACTTCATATTAAACAGTACAGCGATGGAATCAATTTTATCGCCAGGATATCTGGTTTATAAACAATTTGGATATTGAGGAACTCATTTATGATAAAAAAAATCAAAATTTTAGCTGGGCTCGGTGGTTCAGCCTGTAATCCCACGCTTTGGGAGGCTGAGGTGAGTGAATTGCCTGAGCCCGCAGGATCGAGACCTGCCTGGGCAACTTGCCGAGACCTCATCTCTACAATAAATCAAAAAAATTAGCTGGGTGTGGTAGTTCGCGCCTGTAGCTCCAGCTACTTAGAAGGCTGAGGCAGAGGGATTGCCGGAGCCCAGCAGGTCGAGGCTGCAGTGGCTGGGAGCGGCCACCGCACTCCAGTCTGGGTGACAGAGTGAGACTCCAACTCAAAAAAAAAAAATCAAAATTTTATATCTTATATTTTTCTAATGTGTGGTAATGTGTGAACATGCACTGCGGGTTCATTGACATGTGTTGTGCAGTAGTAATTTGTATGATGTCTTCCACCTGGTGTTTTTCTATTCGAGCAGACAAGACAGTCTTGTTTTCTTCCTCCCACATTAATAACATGTAATTTATTGTCCAGTCTGTTGTTCAAAGACAATGTGGAAGGATGTACTCGTGATTCCCGAAAACCACAAGGAGGAATTTAAATCTAACTCATCTTCACTGCTGCTTATAACTCTCACTTTTGTCTTTTTGTTTTGCTATTGTTCTGCAAACTAAATAAATGGATTTAAAAATTCTAATTGTGAATTATAACATCACAAAAGGAAATCTATCCAAAAATATTACTTTTCCAACTTAGCGTGGATAGATATAATTGATTTGGGCCACTCAATGCTTCAGTACAACCAGCCTTCAACTTCAACAGTCTCTTTAAGGCTATGGTAACTGGCTTATCTATCTTTTCAAGTTATGCCATATGATACAAAGGGTATACCCACAGCTGCCTTTCTTATACAAATGCTTTTTATTGCTACCATCTGTTACAAAGAAGTGTCTGCACCACTGTGGAAGCACTTCACATGCTCTTTTCCTTACGTGATTTTTTAAATATATCTCAGTATATAGTCCATCTCTTTATTTGCTTTTTCATGCAATTTGAATGGAAAAACTTCAAGGAAGCACACATTTTTGAAAAATTTGTGATTGTATAAGTTTGTCCTCTGATTGTATAAGTCTGTCCTGTATAGTAACCAGCAATCTCTTTATGACCCTGAGAAGGGCCTTCTAAGTAAAACGGGTTAAAAAATCAGAGAAAAACAGACACTGGCATGGATGCCGAGAAAAGGGACCACTCATCCATCATTGGTGGATTGAGAACTAGTTCAGCCTCTATGGAAAACAGTATGGAGATTTTTTAAAGACCTAAATATGGAACTACCATTTGACCCAGCAACCCCACTTCTAGGCATCTACCCAAACGAAAATAAATCATTATATAAAACAGTATCTGCACTTCATATGTTCGTTGCAGCACTATTCACAAGAGCAATATCATGGAACCAACCTAAGTGCCCGTCAAGATTGACTGGATAAAGGAAAAGTGGTACATAACACCATGGAATACTCTGTAGCACCATGGATGGTGCTGGAGAATATCAACCTAAGTGAACGAATTCAGAAACAGAAAGTGAGCCACTATGTGTTCCCATTTACATGCGGGAGCTAAACGGCCATAAAGATGGAAATGACAGATACTGAGAACACTAAAATGAGGGAGGTAGGGTTCAGGAGTTATCTATAGGGTACAAGGTTCATTATCAGGAGAATGGTCCACCTAAATGAAGCCCACCTCCAACCATTATGCAAGAAGTTCATGTAACAAATGTACCCCCCGAATCTAAACTTTAAGAAAAAAAGAAGGCCTTTTCAGAGGTACATTCTAGTATTTATTAAAGTCTACTTAAAGACTGGACTATTCCATTTCACTGTTCTATCTGTAAAATATATGCCAGCACCAAACTATTTTATTTAATATAACTTTGAAAACATTTTTTAGTATCTGGAAGTTTTAATAGTCTATCAAGGTTATGTTTTTAACAACAACAAAAAATAACCTAAAAGTTTATAGTGGCCCCTATTATTCCAAATGAAAAAGGCATAATAAAAATAAACTTACATTTATGTAGTTTGCATTGATGTAGTCTTCATTACCTTTTAAAATGACCCGTGTAGCATCATCTGAAAAAATTTAAAAGAAACATTGCTTTAATAAAGTTACGTTAAAAAAGAGTATTAGACTTAAGAGAGAGAACAGATACTTACAAGGCGAAATATCTCTGTATCTATTTTTGGAAATGTTCTGAGGTAATTTGGCACAAGACATTGTCATTCCAGGTTTTTTCCGATAAAGTTGCTAAAAAAACAAAAAACAAGCACAAAAACAAACAAGTCCAATAAGTCATCAACAACTTCTGTTTTCTTTTTCGGACTTGTTTCTATAACTAAGAGGATATAGGTTTTTTTTACCTTTAACTATATCAGCTATATAATGATGTACGTTAGGCTAGTAGAGTATTGAATGACATTTGCAAACCCAAGTTCTATAGTTTCTGACACATATTAAGTGCCACATTTTGCTTTTTGTTGTTTTTTTTTTTAGTTGGAGTCTCACTCTGTTGACCCGACTGGAGTGCAGTGGCATGCTCCCGGCCATCGCAGCCTCGACCTGCTGGGCTCTGGCGATCCTTCGTCTCAGCCTTCCAAGTAGCTGGAACTACAGGCACGCACTACCACGCTTGGCTGATTTTTGATTTATTGTAGAGACGAGGTCTTGCCAAGTTGCCCAGGCGGGTCTCGAACCCATGGGCTCAGGCAATCCACTCACCTCAGCCTCCCAAAGTGCAGGATTACAGGCTGAGCCACTGAGCCCGGCAGTGCTTTTGTTTTTTAGAAAGTGGGATTTATTGAGAAGACAGAAAAGCTCCCACAGTAGAAGGGAACCTGAAGGGGTTACTCCTTATTTTGAAAAAAATGGTAAAACAAATGATGCCAATTTTGCTTACAGCAGAAGTACATGAAGTTTTAAACAGCAAATCTGCAGAAAATATTTAGTCTTCATTTAGTTTGGAGTTGTTGACAGTATATGAACTAAGAACTTTTTACAAAAAACACTGACACAGGCTCTAAATGTTGTATGGTTATAAACACATATCTATAACATACATTTCAGAGCAACAAACATTCATGATGGGCACTTTTAAAAACACATTAAAAACCATTCAGGAAGCCCAGTGTGGTGGTGTGTACCTGTAATTCTAGCTATTTGGAAGGGTGAAGTGGGAGGATCACTTGAGCCTAGGAGTTGGAGACCAGCCTAGGCAACATAGCAAGACTCTGTTTCAGATTAAAAACAAACAAACAAAACCATTCAAGTTTATTAATTTAAACAAGCTAATATAATCAATCTAAAAAAGACATTTCAAATTCCACTGTGTGCTCACTGATCAAAATACAGGTTATAAGCACTGAAGAAAGAAGCATTCCTGTTCTTCTGATATAATGATCTGAGAGTTTGTTCTGTTTTCAAGATTGCACTGATAAAAATTAGATAAAGATTAAATATGACAAGGTATAAACTTCAAATAGAAAACTTATTTTCCTTTATCTCAGGATTTAAAGTCTACAGTAGCTTTTCCTCACTTGCCACATTTCATAAAAACAGTTGGTTATGACAAAAAAATTCAGTTTGACAACATGTATAAAATTTTCTTTTCCACTCTTTTAAAAACAGATATCTATTTATAGAACCATAGCTAGTACTTTGGGAGTAATAAAAAATTTTGCATTTTAGAACTCTTCATGTCAAACATTTCTCAGAACACCATTTTAGCGCATATATTATAATGGACAGTAGATTAGGCAGTTAAGAAACAATGAAACTAATTAGAAAATACAAACAAAATTTTTTTAATATACAATGATATTACTTACATCAAATTGTGTCAGGACTGTTCCAGTGATAAGCCCCTCAGCCAGCTGGATCATTGACTCCCGCAGGGAATGGTCATCCTGATGGATACTATCTAGTGGGGCTTTCTCAGGAATATACTGAAAGTCTGGCTCATTTTCTAACTTTTCTTCCACTACATCATACACAGCTAAAATTACAGAAGAAAAAACACACTTAGTTCATGATAGCAATTTACCAGATATGTTTTAAAATTTTGTGTCAGAGAAAGAATTAATTTATGAAGAATTATACCAGATCCGAGTCTGGTGCCACTGTGTTGGGACTGAGAGTGGCTGTGAAGCTGAAGGACTCTGCTGCTGCACCTATGAGAAAAGCAGGGTTCTTTGGCTGGAAATGTCTAAAACTTGAAGAGACAATAAGAAAACAAAGAAGTGCTGAGAAGCAGCTCTGAATACATCTACCACTTTGTGATACCTAGGCAAGAGTACAAATAGGGCCCTAAATACCATACGTCTAAATATGTTAAAATATGCTCTGTCTTCTTCCCTTGACACATCTATAAACAACCTGGGAGGCCAGATTTCAAATGAGATCTAGGCCAGAATTCATGGTTATGGGTGTGGGAAGAATCAGTCCCTATATGCCAGCCCACCTATAGTTCACCCAATTTCTTTTCCCTCTCTCAGCTACATTCTTTAACATGGGGGCCTATAAATATACATGTGAATATCCCAAGTCACAAGTAAGCTCTGTTTATACCTCTCTCTCTGCAAACAGTTGCCTCTTAGCCATTCTGCTGGCCTAGGGTACATATACCACGTTCTACCCCTGGGAGAACAGACCTGTGAAGAATGTCCATGAAGGTCTAGGGAATGGGCTTAAGATTATTTGGACAGAGAACTGAGGGTTGAAAAAAAGTGGTACAAAAAGGGAGAAGAGGTTACAGCTTGGCACATCTTCTTGGTCCTCTAGAATCCTGACCACATTGGGAAGGGAAAGAGAACCAGTATAAAGTCTTGTAAAATATGAAGCCAAAGCAGGGGATCCATTTACTCTTGTCTAAGAGGTTTGGTTTGTCCTTGAAAATGCATGCATTTTTGAAAAAAATACATTTCTGAAATAAAGATTGAAAACACACAAAAAAAGACTTTGGGAGGTGTAGGCTAGAGAACTGCCTGAGCTCAAGGGTTCAAGACCAGCCTGGGTAACTTGGTAAGACCTCGTCTCTACAATAAATCAAAAAATAAGCTGGGTGTGGTGGCACACACCTGTAGTTGCTACTTGGAAGGCTGAGGTGGAAGGATCACTGGAGCACAGCAGGTCGAGGGTGCAGTGGCCATGAGTATGGCACTGCACTCCAGCCTGGGTGACAGAGTGATATCCTGACCAAAAAAACCCCAACAAAAACCAAAAGTCAGGCACGGTGGTTCACGTCTGTAATAATCCCAGCACTTTAGGAGGCTGAGATGAGAGGATTGCCTGAGCCCATGAGTTCAAGACAAGCCTGGGCAACATGGTGAGACCTCAACTATACAAAAAAAAAAAAAGCAAGCAAGCAAGAAAGAAAATACAAAAAAGGCATGTAGGAATGGACATGACAGACCCACAATGAAAATGAAATAGACAAAGGTCCTGGTCCAGATTTTGACTATAAAACAATGTTAGATCTTTTGTAAGAAGTGGGCCCTAGGTAGGTTCTTCTCTTAATTTAAATTGCTATTATTACTATTATTGTTATTTTTGAGTGGGGGGGGTCTCACTCTGTCACCCATGCTGAAGTGCAGTGGCATAATCACAGCTCACTGCAGCCTTGAACTCCTGGCCTCAGACAATCCTCCTGTCTCAGCTACCAGAGTAGCTGGGACTACAGGCGTGCACCACCACATCCAACTAATTTTCTTATTTTTTGTAGAGATGGAATCTTGCTATGTTGCTTAGGTTGGTCTCAAACTCCTGGCCTCAAGCAATCCTCCCAACTCATCCTCCCAAAGTGCTGGGATTACAAGCATGAGCCAACAAGCCTAGTTAAATTTAAACTATAAATTTGGGATTGCAAAAATGCCATGTGTTAAGGTCTAACATTCAGGATCTATAAGGAACTCAAACATGCTGAAAGGAAAAAAACAGCCCCATTAAAAAGTGGGCAAAAGACATGAATAGACACTTTTCAAAAGAAGAGATACAGGCAGCCAGTAGACACATGAAAAAGTGCTCAGCCTCACTAATCATCAGAGAAATGCAAATCAAAACCACACTGAGATACCACTTAACCCCAGTAAGAATGGCCATCATTAATAAAACAAACAACAACAGATGCTGATGAGGATGTGGAGAAAGAGGAACACTTCTACACTGCTGGTGGGAATGCAAATTGTGCAACTTCTTTGGAAAACAGTGTGGCGATTTCTGAAAGAATTAGAAACTGACATTTCATATGACCCAGCAGTCCCCCTATTGGGAATATGCCTGGAGGAATGCAAATCATTCTACAAAAAAGATACTTGCACATGCATGTTTATTGCAGCACTATTCACAATAGCAAAATCATGGAACCAACCATGCTGCCCATTGAAAATGGACTGTATTAAAAAAAAATGTGGTACATATACACAATGGAATATTATGCAGCTATGAAGAAGGACAAACATGGATTCTGCAACAACTTGGATGGATTCAGAGTCTATCATACTCAGTGGTCTATAACAGAAACAAAGAACAGAGTACCATGTGTTCTCAGTCATATGCGGACGTTGAACAATTTTCATAATACTATACAGGGAGGGCCACACCTCATCAACAAGGGTAACTGCAATAATGAACATTTATATACCTAACCCTAAATTGTACTCCACATTTTTTTTTTAAATTGGAGTCCCACTCCATTGCCCAGGATGAAGTGCAGTGGCACACTCGTGGCCACCCCAGCCTCAACCTGCTGGGCTCAGGTGATCCTTTGGGCTCAGGCGATCCTTCAGCCTCAGCCTTCCCAGTAGCTGAAACTATAAGCGCGCACTACCATGCCCGGCTAATTTTTTGACTTATCGTAGAGACGAGGCCTCGTCAAGATGCCCAGGCTGTTCTTGAACACGTGGGCTGAGGCAATACCCTCACCTTGGCCTCCAAAGTGCTGGGTTTACAGGCTTGAGCCACAGCACCCGGCCTGCCCCACATCTTTAAAATTAAAAATTAAAAAAAAATGCCATGTCTTTGCTATGATATGAACTTTTGTCCACATTCTGGTTATGTACCAGTCATGAATCTGTGAGCAGTAACTGAGTGTCTTGGTGCCAAAGCGCCTTAAACTCTAAAAACGGAGACAATTCATCAATCTCATTGGATGATTGTGTGGATTAAACGAAAATATACTAAAAAGCCTTGGTGCACAGAAACCTTTTAATAATTATTAGCTAATATTATTATTGTCAAGCTCTTTAGGATCGATTATCAAGAGAAAATAGGATAAATAAAACTGAAAGAACATTGTGCCTTGTGTAAAATTTAAGTAGCTTCTGTCACAGAAAATGTCTAGTAACGAATCACCTAAGCATCAGGTCTAAGTGAACAGGTTCCTTGAAAAGTTAATTTGCATTTCTTTGATGACTCGTGAGGCTAAACATTTTTTCATGTATCTGTTGGCTGCTCATACGTCTTCTTTTGAGAATTGTCTACTCATATCTTTTGCCTACTTTGTAATGGGGCTGTATGTTTTTTCTTTTCAGCACGTTTGAGTTCCTTGTAGATCCTAGATGTTAGGTCTTTGTCAGAAAATACAGTTGGAAAATATTTTTTCCCAGTCTGTGGGCTGTCTCTTGCTCTCTTGTTGGTTTCTTTGGCTTTGCAGAAGCTTGTCAGTTTGATGAGGTCCCATTTGTCTATCTTATCTCTTATGGCATGGGCACTAGTATTACATGTTCTCACTCATAAGTGGACCATGAACAACTATTGTAATACTGTAAGAAAAGGATTGACAGTAGTGGGAAACTGTGGAGGGGTGGGGGGGCCAGGGAGGTGGGATTGACAGTAGTGGGAATCTGCCTGGGGAAGGGGGAGCACGCCTCATCAACAAGGGTACCTGCATAATGAATATTTGTATACCTAACCCTGAATTGTACCCCACAATTTTAAAATAAAAAATTTAAAAGTTAAAAAAAAAGAATAGTTAAAACAGAATGTTCTGTTAAAGTCCTTTCAACTTTCCTAGGAAGACAATTCTAGACTGCAAATGGAAAAGAACACCAAGAGGAGAAGATAAAATGAAAATGCCTATTTATGACCACAAGAGGTAAAGAAGTATTTTTTTTTAAATAAAAAAGAAACTTTTGGCTGGGCTTGGTGGCTCAGTCTGTAATCCCAGGTCAAGGCGAGTGGATTGCCTGAGCCCGCAGGTTCGAGACCAGCCTGGACAACTTGGCAAGATCTCATCTCTACAATAAATCAAAAATTAGCTGGGCATGGAAGCACACACCTGTAGTTCTGGCTACTTGGAAGGCTGAGGCGGAAGGATCCCTGGAACCCAGCAAGCTGATGCTGGGGTGGCCATGAGTGTGTCACTGCACTCCAGCCTGGGTGACAGAGTGCGACTCCAACTCAAAAAAAAAAAAGAAAAGAAAAGAAAAGAAACTTTCTTGTTGCAGGAACTCGAAATAATGCCATATGAACACTGGCTGAAGGCTCTGAGACTGTTAAATTTGAGAAAGGAGAGAGTTACTGGATATATTAGTTATTGTCAAAATATGAATACAAAAGAGATTAAAATTATTCAGCATAGCACAAAGTGACAGAATTAGGAACAATGGGACTGAAGGAGAATGGAATTTTTCAATTTATAGTTCAACCTCTCCAAAGGTGGAATTAACTATTTCAGGAGCCACCACGTGCTCTCTATGTTGGTAGGATATTCTTGAGGTTGTTGTCGAGAAAACTCATACAAGTGGCAAAGAAAATAACTAATCCTGGGATATAAACAAAGGAGCTACAGTTTGTAGTATATGATTTCTCCAAACCTAGGACTCCATGACTATAAAATAACAAGTCAGCTGTCCAGATCGAGAGGTAACATGTTTAGGCGAGTAGACATCATCCACTGAAAACACAGTATTTTTAAAAAACATTGCTTTAGCTATTATTGATTGTTATGGAGTTTTCTAAAAGTGAAACAGAGTTCAAATTTACTCATTAATTCAAAGTACTTACTGAGCACTTACTACGATTATTAGGGCAACTGGGATAAAAGGGAGGCCATTTTAGCTATGGGAGTCAGGAGAGAAAGCAATTCTGAAGATGACATTTGAGCAAAGACCTAAAGGAGGTGAAGATATAAGTCATATAAATATCAACAGTGTGTAAGGAAGGTGGAACAGAAATCCTAAAGACTGGAACATTTCAGGAACAGCAAGAAAACTAGTATAGAATAGATGAGAGTGAGAAAAACCAAGTGAGAGGAAAGGAGGCCAAGAATTTGAATTTTGTTCCAAGTGTAAATGGAAGCCACTGTGCTCTGAGCAAGAAACTGACATAACTTACGTTTTTAGTCAGCAATCTGGCTGCTACGTCCAGTAATAAACAGTAATGAATTATGACAAATATCCAGTACTGCATAGAGTACTTACCATTAGGTCGAACTAGAAGCATGAGTTCCCCAGAATGTCTCTCACAGCTAGCTTTAATAAATAGGACAACCTGATCATGGGTATGCTCTGCAATGTCCCGACCATTGATCAGTACAACTTGGTCCCCTTCATTCAATCGAGGGACACAGAGGTCAGCCTGTAATATAATACAGAAAAGGTTTCAGATTTGTATGTGACTTTTTGAAAGTAAAGCACAGGAATTTATTTCTATAGACTCTACAGGAGGAGAATAAAACTACATATACAAAAGCATCTATTAATTTATTAATCTATTAAAAAATTTTAGAAACCTAGTTTTCCCATAAATATACTTTTTTCTTCTTTCATTTAACAACTTCTTTCCTGATAACCCACCATGTAGCCAGACATACAGATAAGACTGATGTTTCAAGGTGCAAGTACTCAGGAAACCCTAACTTTACACTGACTAGATATGTATAAATTTCAATTATCATGGTTCAGTTACATAACACTAGTCCCCAAACAACATGAACTTTAGTTAACACAATTTATTAACTGTGAATAACTACATAGAGTAAAAACTTTGCTGGTAGCTCATCAGTATAAAAAAATCACTAGATAAATAATAGACACATCATAATCAGTGGCCAATTACATTAGTGTTTCCAAAGTCTGTTAGTGATTTTAAACAATGTACATTTATTATTCAGTTCATGTAGAGACAAAAATGTATGTGGTTGTGTTGCTTCCTTGTCTCGCTGTGATAAACCCACATACAGGTGAATAATCTGAAGAGAGAACTGACAAAAAAAAGATGAAAGTGCAGAAAGAAACGAAAAATGATTAATGCTGGATGTGAAATTCAAATTGAACATAATGGAGTTGGAGAAGAAAGTCAACCACGGAAATGCTGACACTATTGTTATTTGAGAAACCCTAGATATGTAGACAGAGGAACTCTTAGAGGTTTTTCACAAAAGCGAAAGTTCAGAGAACAAAGTATTGAAAGTAGATCCCAACTTGAGAGGATTATTATGACAATTTGAGAAGGCAAGTCAAGATGCTCACTCTGTATTCTAAGCTGTACCACAAGAAGGAGGCAAGTAGTGTTCAAACTACTTGTGATATAGATTTTCACAGGGAAATAAAACCTGTTAGTTTTCAGTGTTTCTAAAGTTTTGAATTATGAGATCATAAATAAATATTAGCTTTCTTTCTTTTTTTCTTTTTTTTTGAGTTCGAGTCTCACTCTGTCACCCAGACTGGAGTGCAATGGCAGCTCTCGGCCACCGCAGCCTTGACCTGCTGGGCTCCGGCGATCCTTCCGCCTCAGCCTTCCAAGTAGCCGGAATTACAGGCATGCGCTACCACGCCAGGCTGATTTTTTGATTTATTGTAGAGATGAGGTCTCACTGTCCAGGTGGGTCTCGAACCCACGGGCTCAGGCAACCCACTCACCTCAGCCTCCCAAAGGCGCGGGATTACAGGCTGAGCCACTGAGCCCGGCTTAGCTTTATTTCTTTTTGCCATCATAAGAGACAGCAAGAGAGATTTTTAGCATTATGACAAAAAATTTTAAAGTCTTGGGAATAACCATAATTTTTCCCAATGATCATTAAAATCCTGCACAATTTCATCTTGCATGATTATTTTTACAGACCTCCACTACTATGCAAAATGAGAACTGTCTATACTTTATTGAGAAAACAAAACAATAATTAGAGTAAAGAGATACAAGAAATAGAAATATAGACAACATGTTCTGGGAACTCAGCAATGAAAACAAATGAGAGTCAAGTTTGAAGGATAGGCTCAGTAGAGAAAAAAATGATGGGGTTGAATCTTATAAAAAAGGAAACCTTTTATGGCAAAGGCATAGAGAGATAAAAGCAAACCTTCTCAAATTCATTATAAGCACAAAATTAATAAAATAGATCACTCACAGGTGTTCCTGGTGCTACTCGGGACACAATCACAGGCATCTTCTGGTCATATCCTCCCTTGAAAAGAGATTAAGTCAAATATTACCAAAATAAGAACATCTTAATTTTAAAACTGAATACAATATAAATTCTAGATTACCTTTACATTGAACCCAAATCTTCCATTTTCATCAGGTTTCATTCTGATTAGCACAAGATTATCATGTGGAATACCACCATTAGGCTTTTAAAAGACAGAATTAAGTAACTTGTTAATTTTCTTTACTTAAAATCTACCCTTCAGATATACACAAAACATCCTTTTCATATACCCATATTACCTACTGTATGTAAAGAACCACAATTCTAATCAAAATGTTCATTCAGGAAAGTAAATTTCTTTGATTAATGATTTGCAGTTAACCCCGCTTGATATATTCTCTTATGTATTCTTGCCACCACATGCTAGACTATAAGTGCCAGTAGGAAAACAGGCCATGGGTGTCTTTATTAATTGCTATATCCCTAGAACCTCGCTCAAAGCAAGGCAAGTTCATATATGTATATAAACACACACACGCACACATCTAATGCTTGTGTTACATGAATTCAAAAATACACATGCTTTTTAAAAACAACTTTACTAAGATATAATTCATATATCACACACTTCTCCCATTTAAAGTGTATATTTCAATAATTTTTATTTTAGTTGCACAAACATCACTATTATCTAATTTTATAATATTTTCTTTAACTCCAAAAGGAACTTTGTATCAATTAGTAGTCACTCTCCAATTCCCCAATTCCCATTCTTCAAAGCCTAGTCAACCACGAATCTAGTTTCTGTTTCTATAGATCTGAATAATGTGGACATTCACATATACAGACTCTCACACAACATATGGCTATTTGTTAGTTTCATTCACTTATTATGTTCTATGCCTGCTCTTAGAAGGAAAGAATCTAGTTAATTCTTATTTATACTTCAAAATGTAGGTCAGAGATTATCTCTTCTGGGAATCTTTCCTTAACCTCACAGCTAATTTAATTATTCTTATATACTCTGTGCATTTCCTATAATCACTTCTAATTACGGAATTTATGTTGAGTTACATCATGGAACAATTCATGACTAAATAAGATAATGAGAAAGAGAAATTATACTGTAGTAACTTACAACTAAAACATGACACAGTACAAAAGAAATTTCATTTGGGATTTTAAAAATTCAAAGAAAAGTGAGAATATCTGAAGAGGCTGCTTACAGTAGGTTTTTCAGGGGACGATGGAACATCAAATGTTTCATTAATATGATTTTCCAGATCTTGTTGAGAATGTGAATAGTGAATTTGGTTCCAACTGTTTTTCTTAGATTGTTTGGGTGGTAAAGCTGGAGGCTGTCCTTCTCCAGGGGTCTCTTGTGACCTAGATATGAAAAAGAGAAAAAAAAAAAATTTTGGAAGCTGCCTCACAGAATTTATTTTAAAGTTAGGGCCAAGTAACTCAGGTATTTACAATATCTAGTAGGTGACAGGTTTTAAATACCATATTTATTTGTAAATGTCACTCTTTAATGAAAACTTTCTTAACCTTCAAGTAGTAAATCTAATTCCTACTTTATCAAATCTATAAACAATTATATAATAAAATACACTTTAAAGGTATCCCTGTGAATATATCTATTAATCTATGACAACAATGTAAATACCTTTCCAAAAAACTTTTAAAAAAGTTTTCAGTGGAATCACAGGTAGCCAGAGAATAAGGCAGGCAAAGAGAATTCAGAACTGAGAACCGGGCAGTTACACAAATAAAACATCTAGCCCAGAACAAATAACTTAAGGGATTGGCCTAATCTATTTAGAAATAAAACACAATTCATAAGAGTAATGAACTCAATGTTGTGACAAGGATTAGAAATCTGAGAAAGTGTTGAGATCATCACCAAAGAGACAAAAGTGGATGCAATATTATAAGAGAATATGATTTAAGGTGAGAAAGCAAAAATCCAATTAACATTAGAGACCATAAGCCTCAATCTGTGGCAGCAGGAATTGATAAAAAGAGTCAGGTATGATAAGGGAAACTTCAAGGTAGAAACTGTAGATTTGAAGAGCAATCATGGTATGTATAATAGCATTACTTTTGAGTTATACACAAAGGTCAAAAGTGGAAACCAGTGGTTCAACTTGTGCCCTAAGAAGTTTGCATCCCTAAAAGTTATGAAATTTGGAAAAAGTAAGAGAATAGGCAAGAAGAAAATTGTGCTTGATAAGAGCATTGACCATCATTGGGGTTATTACCTAACTTTAGGATGACAGGAGGTCCTTCAGGGACATAATTATTTTCTCATTGCCAAAGGATAGATGAGAGAATTAACAGCTACTGTGTCAAGTCACATGACTGCTGCCCTGGTACTCAGACATACATTTTGCCCAGCATCTATTCACTTATGTTAACTACAAAAAATGCCTAACATTCAAGCTGTAAGTTCTTGAGATGGTGAAGGTGTATTAGATTATATTATTGTTAAAAATATTCCTTACCCTTCCTACCACTAACATCAGGTTTGGCAGAAACATGTAGACAGATAAATTGCTGATAATATATTAAAAGGTATCAGTACATATCCCAAAATCAAAAACTGTTTTTGTGTGTGAAAAAACGTTTCCAATTTATGTCAGTCCAGTTGGCTTTAAATTTCCTCACAAATGTTTCAATAGCACTGAAAGCAGCTTATTTTGCAGTCAAAGCCGCTTTCTGTTGCTGCCTTTAGAAATCTGTATCCTAATGAAAGATAAGTTTAACCACCCAATTCGCATGCTGTGTGATTATTTTTAGAGAAACACCAGGCTTCCCTGTTACATATTAGCAGGAGTATATTATTACATGTGATGGGAATGTATTAAAACATCTGTTAAATATTTTTAAGTTAATTCAGGGCTATTATTTAATCTCATAAAGTTACAAACAAAAACAGTCTAATTTTTTGTGAAGCATTTAAAGAAAAGAAAATGGTAGACTGTGGTCTGGTTTAATTTACCCCTGCTTATAAATGGCAACTTTATTCTAAACAGTACAAGCAATCTCCTATACTAATTTCAAAAATAGAGAACTGGTGAGATAATCCTGTCAATTTTTAAAAAAATGTGAGAAATCTTTAAACGAAAAATCGATTTCACTACATGTTAAAATACTCTGTGCTTAATCCAACATATTGGTTGAGTTTTTTTCAAATTTGGTCATGGAAAAACTAAAATCTATGGATTCCAAGTTGCAAAGTATTTTACCTAAATTGCAACAAAACAAAACAACAATCAACAAACACTTGTTTGGGGGAGACAGTTTCCTAGCTGATTCTAGTAGGCAAGGCCTGAATTTTTGTTTTAGAAATTGAGACCCATGTTCTAGGTGTGGCTTTCTCTTCTAAGATGGGTGTTACACACCTGTCCTACATTCACTGAGTTCTCCCGAATAGACTGGTGAGATAATTTATATAAGAGCAACTGCAAGCAACTAATGCTATCACTAAGCTTAATTTTTTCAGAACTCACTCATTATTCTTGAGGTTAAGACCAGCTGAATTTCAAATGCAGTGCTAAAGATTCAAAATTGAATAAAAATATAGAAGCCTTATAAAATACATGTCTGAGAAGATTCCAAGCATTTTACATTCCTGTGGATCAGATAGAAGCAGCAAACACTCTTCAGGGTTCCGATATATCCTGAATTTGCTTCTCCACTTCAGACCAGGAAAGCAGACCAAAAGTAAATTTGAGGTGGTAAGAGATTTTAGGGTTTGTAAATCTATAAAATTTACACATGAAAATGTTAAACTGTGTGTGTCTCTCTGAAAAAGGCTATTTAAAAACGGATTAGGATAATTTGGTAGGCCTCAAGAGTTGTATTGTTTTAGTTTTGTAATAATTAGGCTTTTGAGATTCCTCCATATGGTTCATTTTTATGTCATGAGATATGTGTTTTTTAAAATTAAATCAATTAAACATTTCGATCATGTCCTTAATTACTATTCATTTAAGTTTCAGCACTAGAAAGTATATAATTATTAAAAATCAATGAAAAAGTTTATAGTTATAATCTGTAAAATAATAAAATCCTGCATTTCTATCAATTCTATTTCTTACCAATTCATTCCTCACAGATATAGTTGTGCAGTGTGTATCTCTCCGACTCCTCCATTTTAAATAATGTGTACACACAATCAAAATGTTTTACCAAGATATAAGTCACTAAGGCCAAAGATCTACCTGTTTCTTTTTTTCAGTTAGCATTTCTCTTTTCTTCTTTCTACTTCTACCTCTTTGGATAGTCAGCCTTCCTTGGTTACTCAAGGCCAGCCATGGCCACTCATCTTCTTCCTTCCACACATCACTCTTGGAATCATTCTTTTTTTAACCCTGATCACATTCACTGTATTTTACACTGACTTTTCCTTCTCAACAATTAGTAAATCTTCTTACCCCTCTCTACATCTTATAAGTATTTTGCCTTATTTTACTTGTATTTTAATTTTCTCAACACTTTCTATTCATCCTTATAATTACCTTCCTTTAAAAATATTAAGAAAATCCTACCTTTCACTATTCCACTCTGAGACCAGTGCTACAGTATCTGCAGAAATATCTGAGTATATGCACTAAAAATTGAAGAATGATCTGCATTAACAAAAAACAACATAGTGACTAGATGTGGAAGGGAGAGGCAAAGAGAACTCACAGGAACAAATCAGAAAAATTACAGATATATAAATTTTCCAAAATGGCATAAATAAAATCTTTTATGAAATACTCTAATACCCAGTTTATTTTAAATGAAGCAATCTGGGGCATCTGAAAATACAAAGTAAAAAAGCAAAATGGAAAAAAGGTCTTACGGTGATGGTTCCAAAACAATGCTATTAGCTTGTGTTGATGATGGTGATCTCTGATTCACAAATACTTCACTTGGGGAAGTGTGAACCACATGGTCCACCAAATGACCAACTGAAGATGGTCGTAACCGGGTTCCTTCTTGTGTGAATGCAGAATTTCGACTAAATAAAGAGGTAGAAACACTGAATTAAAATATGCTTTAATTAAATTTTTCCAAGTTTCTTTTTAAAAAATTATTTTAAAGATATGGGGTGCAATTCAGGATTAGGGATACAAATGGTCATCGCACAGGTAAAGTTTGGGCCTCCCTTGGGTCCCCATTTTGCCTGGTTTGAGGTCAGGAACCCTCATTGATAATGTGTTCCTTTTACCTTTCTGCTCCCCCGCCTGGCAGTATTCCACTACTGCCAATCCCTTTTAGTATTATGGTAAATATTCAGGGGTCTGCTTATGAGTGAGGACATGTGGTACTCTGTTCTTTGTTTCTGTGATAGGTCACTGAGTATGACAGACTCTAAATCCATCCAAGTTGCCACAAAGTTCAAGTGTTTGTCCTTCTTTATGGCTGTGTAGTATTCCACTGTATACATATTTCTTAATATATGGTTGCATCAGAAGTGGGTGTGTGTTTTTAAGACGAACCACGTTGACTAAGAAGTCTCTCTGACAGTGTAATATAAACAGAAAGAACACAGAATGGGAAAGTGTGATCTGAGTTATTGTCAACAATCTGCTGAAAGGCTTTTACCTATTCATTCATATATTATCTCCAACTACCCTAATGTTTCTAGGTTTTAGTCACTACAATTTTGTCTTATTCAGCATTCATGAAGGGAATAGAATAAATGCTTTAGAAATATTTTCTAGTCTAAATTATTTATTTATTTATTTTTGAGTTGGGAGTCTCACTCTGTCACCCAGGCTGGAGTGCAGTGGCACACTCACAGTCACCCCAGCGTTGACCTGCTGAGCTCCAGTGATCCTTTTGCCTCAGCCTTCCAAGTAGCTGGACCTACAGGCACGTGGTACCATGCCCAGCTAGTTTTTGATCTATTGTAGAGACGAGGTCTCGCCAAATTGCCCGGGCTGGTCTCAAACACACGGGCTCAGGCAATCTACTCGCCTCAGCCTCCCAAAGTGCTGGGTTACAGGCTGAGTCACTGAGACCGGCCTAAATTATTTTTTAAACCTTAAGTCCTAAGAATAGATACTGAATACCATACTTTCATCCTTCTAACAGTCACATGAATTAATATTGTCATTATAATCATTCATTACAATAACTGAGCATTTATTATCTGCCAGGCACTGTTCTAAGCACTTCATTTACTCCTCATAACAATACTATAAAGATACTATTGTAAGTATAGTTTTGTAAATGAGGAAAATGAGACAGAGATTAATGAATCTGCCCAAAATTCAAATGCATAGTGACTCTAGGGCCCATGCTCTTTAACCACCACCCTATACTCTTTATACTTGTTTTTTTTTAAGCCAGAGTCTCACTCTGTCACCCAGGTTGGAGAGCAGTGGCATGCTCTTGGCTACCTCAGGTTTGATCTGCTGGGCTCAGGTGATTCTTCCACCTCAGCCTTCCAAGTAGCTGGGACTACAGGCACGCGCCACAATGCCTGGCTGATTTTTTGATTTATTGTAGAGACAAGGTCTCACCAAGTTGCCCAGGTTGGTGTCAAACCTCTGGGTTCAGGCAATCCTCTCACCTCTGCCTTCCAAAGTCCTGGGAGCATAGGCATGAGCTACCACACCCAGCTATAATTTTTTTAAAAATATCTTTTAGATCATACCTAAAATTGTTTCATTAACCACAAAATTAATCAGATCTACTGATTACTTAGCTATTAATTACTCAAGAAATTAATTACTTGAGTCCTTTGGTTTAAATTTCTTGTGTTGATGGGCTCGGTGGCTCAGCCTGTAATCCCGCGCCTTGGGAGGCCGAGGTGAGTGGATTGCCTGAGCCCATGGGTTCGAGACCTGCCTGGGCAACTTGGCGAGACCTCATCTCTACAATAAATCAAAAAATTAGCCGGGCATGGTAGCGCACACCTGTAGTTCCAGCTACTTGGAAGGCTGAGCAGAAGGATCGCTGGAGCCCAGCAGGTCGAGGCTGCAGTGGCTGGGAGTGTGCCACTGCACTCCAGTCTGGGTGACAGGAGTGAGACTTCAACTCAAAAAAAAAAGAAAAAAAAATTTTTTGTGTTTTCTATAATTGTTTAGTGGTGGTGGTAAAAATTGCTGGCTGCAAATGGCAACAGAAAAAGAAGGTCTGCGTTTTCTTCAAATAAGCTGCAAAGTCTTTGAATATATAAAATCTTTTATAAGGAAAAATGACTTAGCAATCTGAAATCAACAAACAGAGATTACTGAGTCAACTTTTCCTGGCAGTAATTTTTAATAGCTAGGTATTAAAGTTCTGTGAACCAAACTGTTTATGTATTTATTTTATGTCCAATATGTAGAAGCTTATTCTCCAGCTGACCATACCCATCAGTGCTATTGCTTTTAGAATTTAATGCAAACTTATTAGACATTAAGGTTCATAAAACATTTCTAAAGGAAGACTTATTCAGATATTATATTCCATACCAAAACTCAAGTATTTTATAAATGAACCTTTTAGATGAACAAAGTATGTTAATATGTTGACACATATTTGCTTTCCATTATCTTAATTACACAGACAGTATAACACACAACACATTTATTAACACTAAAAAATTAAAACAGTCAACATCTTTGGCTAGTATATTTGGCTACTTTATTACCTTATTATCATCTATACCAAAACATAAAATTTCTGTGAGAAACGAACTGAAGTATATACACGGTAAGTGCTGAATCACACAGTGCTTCTTAGTATAGTAATAGTTAAGTTAATGGGGACTGGTGTTGGAAATCACTTTTTCTAAGTCATAGAAATTGCTAGAGTCATGGTTTAGGTGATGGTTTAAGTAGAGAATCACAATTACTAGAAAAGCGTTCTCAAACAATATATGCTCCTCTAGAAATTCTGCTGGGAATTCACATGGAAAATGATTATGTCAACATCAACCACATGAGATTTATTTATGTCTACTAGTGGAGTTTTATTTATCGGTTACGATCCTAACTGTGAAAGTCAATTGCTGAGGAAAGTGAGGCTGAGGGTTCTTGTTCAATGCCCTGCTCCCTCATTCCCCAAAGCTATTCCATACTACTTCTGCGATGAGCAGCAGACGAAGAGAAAATAATGCTCTGGAGCAACAAAAATCATGTTTGACCAAAATAGTTAAATTTTTACATATTTTGATCTTCAGGCAATAACACTATACAGTCAATAATTTAGAAATTAGCAAAATTCACACCTGATATTGGTCTGTACTTACTGATTAGGAGTTCCAGGTGGAGACCGTGATGGAAGGCTCTGTGTTTCTAACCTGTCATCAGATAATGAATTTCTGCTTACTACTTCCCAATCCATTAATTTCCGTGCCAAGGGTTTACTTGGGGATCTGTAGAAATGAATTGAATACTATGTAGAGTTTTATTTTTATACCCAAGCTATGAATCAGTCCTAAAATTTGTTTTAATAGATCATATTCTAGATGAGTCAACATAAAATAGTTTAATTATAAGAAATTAATGCATTTAGAGGCTATTTATCAGATAATTTCCTAAGAAAGTACATTTTCTTTATATGAACAATAAAGGCTAGGAAGAGCTGGATACAGAATAGGTAAGAAAGAGAGAGAAGAAATAAGAAATAAGAGAGAAGAAAAAAGTAGTCTGCTCTGTTTTCACAAGAATATTATCAATATCAGGGATACTGCCCATTTCTATTCCAAAGTAATATGAACTCTAGTTTATTTTTGGATGTATTAAACAATTCCTAGCACATTATCTCCTGAATGCATCCAGATTCTCAATTCTTTGCCACAATGAAGACCGAACAAAAAAGATAATCATGCATAGTATATGTTATTTATAATTTTTAGTTTACATAAAATAGGCTAGTAGATTTTTTTCTCTTTTTACAAAAACATTTTGGAAGGTTAGCAATTCTGTCTTGAGGTAGGGACTATAAGGATATCTTTTATTATCTATCTATATATTGTCAGTTGCCATAGTGATAAAGAAGAGAACTAAGTGATCTTTTAAGAAAAATATCCTGATATTGATTTATTCAGATAAAATATTTTAAACTATGCAGAGTTCATAAACCCTTAGAGTCTTAGAAATGTTAGCATGAAGTCTTTTGATATGCAAATTCAGATACTGGCTAAAATTAATTGAAAATATATGACATCTATTTAAGTGACTAGCTTTTCGAAAAGTAGAGTTAAGATGGAGGCTAATAAATGATTTAAGCTACCTATTTCAGTAATAAATTCACTGAAGTATATAAAATTATTTTTTATTACAGCACAGTTAAAACAAATATATCTTACTACAAAATCCAATGTACGTAGAAGTACCTATTTGTGTAAAATAAAAAAAATGAAGACTATTTTTGGTTAGGATTGATAGGATTCATAGGTCTTCATTATGTAAATTTGGACTTATATTCAGATTTTCCAATAATAAAAAAAATTGCACTTAGTACTGCATTTACTTCTTAGCTTATAGCTATTTTTCTCCCTCTCATTATGTACTATGTACACTTTTGTGTGGCTAAAAATAAAAATTACCAAGCAAGGCACAAAGCAAATGTAATAATGGTAAGTCATTCAATTACATTAAAACTTAATAAGATCATTATGTGCCAAGATTCTAATGTCATTAAGTTTGTAGTTGCACTGTCAGCTTAGAATTTCTTTTCCAATATATTAAACACGTAGAAAAAAAAAACTGGACTAAGAGCATGGTAGCATAGACCAAAGAGTACCTGATAAACCATTATTATGTGCACAGTAGGAAGAATTAAAATAATGATGAGTGGGTACCCTGAATCCTAGTTCTAGCTTCCCAGTAGACAAATCTCTCAAGTTTCTATATCTAACTATAAAAACTTGCTAGTACAAGTAATCCTTAGATATCTTCCTACCACCTAAATTTTACATCTAAATTTTCAGTGCAACATTTTAGCTCATTAATTTTACTAAACCATGAAAAACTTAAGTTACTTATGAATCCAAACCACATGAGTGTCCTATCATTTTAGGAATTCATAGTCAAACGTTTTTTAGATTGGTCTAATGACATTTTAATATAAAAATAGGCATTTTCTAAAGATTATGTAATATTATTGGTTAAAAGACAATGACTCAGATTTCATTTTCTATAAGTGAATTCAATGTTATTTAAGCATGAACATTTCTCATTATCATGATTTTACATTATAGGATTTTTACCTCAAGACAATTCAGGACATCATTTAGTTCAACCACTTCATAATACAGTGCAAATTTTTATAACAGTCACAACAGTATGAAAATAAAGCATATTATCTCATGCATCTGACTTTCAAATTAAAGATTAACTTATCATCTTCTGGCTCTTCTACTAATGCTAATTCTTGTTGTTAATAAACTATTTTTTCCCTCACATATTAGACTGCTTAATGTATGCTGTATGAGAGTCACTAACTATAGTCAAGAGATCAACTACTTTCATTTTCCAAGAGAGGAAAAAAGTCATTTGAAGGAAGAAAAATTTCAGTACACTCACCTGAAGCATCAGAACACTTTACTGCTGTTAATGGAATATACATGGTTGGAGACACTTTGAATTTAAAACTAAACTTCAGGTGTTTAATTTTATTAACAGTTTTAACCTCAGAGACCCACCCACTCAAGCTTGCTGTCTATGTTTCCTGTTAAGTGTGGAAATTTCAGAGAAAAAAATACCACACTGCATCACTGTGTTTGCAATGTGGTAAGTTTATTTTCTGACCATGGCACCTTATTTTTCTGTTGTATGAGAACATTGTTTTTCTATCTTCTTAGATATTATGATATGACAACTGAAAAAGTATGAAAGCAATCTGAAGAGCTGATATATGAGAAAAAATAACTTATTTAATTATTGCTAAAAGTCTTATCATATGAAAAGTTTAAGGAGAAATCCTTAGTATCCATTCATATTGTCAGCTAAAATCCCAGGAAAGACAAGAACTCTAGAATTCTCTAGTACTTTAACAAAATAACTTAGTAATTGCTAAAACCATTAGAGAACTTTAATAGCTATGCATCAAGTCACTACAATAAGATTCGGGCATATTAGATAAACAATCCCAGAAAAACTTAGTCTTTGGAGAAAGAGTGATCAATAAAAGATCCAGTACTGGCCAGGCATGGTGGCTCACACCTGTAATCTCAGCACACTGGGAGGCTGAGACAAGAAGACTGCTTGAGTCCAGGAGTTTGAGGTTAGCCTGGGTACCACAGCGATACCTAATTTCTACAAAATAAATAAATAAATAAATTAGCTGGGCATGTTGGCGTGCACTTGTAGTCCCAGATACTTGGGAGGTTGAGGTGGAAGGATCACTTGAGCCCAGGAGTTGGAGGTTGCGGTGAGCTGTGATCATGCCACTGCACTCCAGCAGAGGTAACAGAGTGAGACCACGACTCAAAAAACAAAACACATTTTAATAAGTTCTGTGTTATTAAAACCTTGTCCCAGCTGATAACTTATTTCAGAGAGGATCCATACAATTCCAGCATAACAAAAGGAACAGGAGAGTTACCTAAGGCTTATCATATTGGAATTTAACTATTTATTGAACAATGCATATTTGTTTTATAAAATAATCTATTAAAGAACTTTATGTTTTAATAATATACAAAATGAACAACTAAAATGCAGGTATAACTGCATATTTCTAAAGTCTCATATGATTGAAATATTAAAATATTAACACATATAAAGAAATGATTTACATGTGATAGTAACCTTAATATATAAATACACCTATGATTTGGTACTCATATTTGGACATTATAGTACATAAAGCTAGTCATATCACATGTTCTATATTTTTTATAAATATCTAGAAAAAAAGGTAAGTTTATTCTTAGGAAAGAAATAAAAAAGGTGCAAGTATATTGTTATAGTTTTATAACACTAAGAATCAGAAGAACATCTTGATTTTAAAAAATCAGAAAATGAGTGTTACAAGTTATAGTACTGAGAATTAAAACAAATACATTCTAAATTAAAACAATGAAGTTGACAGGAAATAAATTATTTCTTTCTCAAGAGCAACTGCAAGGAAAACAATGTCATAGTAACATTTTACTGCAGATAACATCGTTATGCATCTAACACAGCGAAAGGCTACAGCCCTGACAAGCTGAATCCTTCCCACATCAAGGCATTTTTATCTATTGTTTTCTTTTTTTTAACTTGTACCACTTCATAAAACAGCTGTGTTTTATTTTTGTTTATTGATTTTAAAGATGTGGGGTACAATTCAGGATTAGGGATACACAAGGTCATTGTACAGGTAAAGTCTGGGCCTTCCTTTGGTCCCTTACTTTGTTTGGTTTAGGATAAGGCACCTTTATTGATGTTGTCTCCTCCCCCATCCCCCCCGCCCCCCCAGCAGTATCCTGCTACTGCCAATCCCTTTCTTAAAGTATTATGGTAAATGAGCTCAGCCTGTAATCCCAGCACTTTGGAAGGCCCAGGCGAGTGGATTGCTTGAGTCTGTATAAATGACTGTTTTCCTATTGTACAAATCAGGATGAAACAACCCCGGAATGAAGGTAAAAGCGCAAATAAATCTTATTCAAACATATTTTAAAAGTTTCAGTAATTTTTGCTTCAAATGACCTTACTCCAAGAAGTTCATATTATTATTTATTTTTTATATAATCAAAATATTAAAACATGAACACTTATTAAGAAATGATTGATAGGTGTTCAGGACATATTACTGTGACTATCTCAGACAGGTTTTGCAACAACTTCGTCCCTGGAGGTGGGAATGTAAAGGAGGGAATCATTGAGTGAAGTTTATAGTATACAATAGAAGTATTTGCCAGGTTACAGATTTCACCATCATAAATGACTAGATTTTTCAATATCAAAGAAAATGTGCATGATATGTTAAGTGATAAAATCAAACAACAAAAAGTATGAAATAATTATGAAACAAATATATACATACATAAATGTATCTCTGAAAGTAAGTGCATGAAAAAATCTTGAAGGACACATACCAAAACATTTTAAGTTAGTTGTTGTCTTGGGATGACAATTCTTCTTTATGTTCCTCAAGGTTTTAAATATAATGAGCTACCACTTATATTCCAAAAAAAAGAGGCAATTTCTACTTATCTTTTAACAATATGATTTAAATATGGAAATGGGCTTGAAAACATGAAATAAGTCATTATATTACTCCAAACTATTTCTTAAAAAAGGAGAGCACCACCCAACAAAATATTATATTAATGATACTTGATTCCTCCTATTCAGAGCTACAGTGCTCGGCACATTATTAATGTTCATACAAAAAAATCAGTAAATTAGACAAACGAGTTTATCATTCCCTTAATATGATTTATTGTTTAGTTAATGATCATGTGACAATTCTGTAATCATATTTAGAAAAAGTTTTTAATAAACTTAATTCATCTTAAAAAAATTCAGACAATAAAACAGAATTGGCTTACCTTGCAAATACCCTGTCTTTATTTGCCTTTTCTTTGCCATACTGAACTGACTGGACTTCAGTTCTCCCACTGAAATACATAAATATGCACAACAAGAACATTGTAAGGAGAACTACAAGATAAAATGACAACACACAACATTTTACAATTTCAAAAGAGCCATTTCTAGTAGAGAAAAGCAGGGAATAAGAAGGAAAGACTGAACTACATTCTAGTTCTACCTGTACAAATAAGGCTTAACTGCAGTTCTTCCATTAATGAACAAAGACACTTCTTTTTTTTTTTTTTGAGTTGGAGTCTCAGACTCTGACACCCAGGCTGGAGTGCAGTGGCATGCTCATAGCCACCACAACCTTGACCTGCTGGGCTCAGGTGATCCTTCCACCTCAGCCTTCCAAGTAACTGGATCTACAGGCATGCACCACCGTGCCCAGCTACTTTTTTGGAGGGGGGGTTTATTGTAGAGATGAGGTCTCACCAAGTTGCTCAGGTTGGTCTCAAACCCGTGGGCTCAGGTAATACTCTCACCTCAGCCTCCCAAAGTGCTGGGATTACAGGCGTGAGCCATCATACCCGGCTGAATCACAGACTTAAATGTAAACGTTAAAACTACAGAACTCCTAACAAAAAGATAAATCTTTGTGACCTTGTGGGCAAAGATTTCTTAAATACGATAAAAAAAAGGAAGGGAACTTTATTAAAATTTAAAACTTGTGCTCTTCAGAGGACACTAGCAAGTAATCTCAAGATAATAGCAAGCATTGACGAGGATGTGGTGGAGCTGAAACTCCACCACATAAAAGCAAACTCAGGAACAGGCTGATTAAAAAAAAAAATTGTTGGGGGAAGGGAGCAACACCAATTTTGAAAAAACAATTGGCAGTTTCTCACAATGTTAAACATACATTTATCATATGATCTGGTCATTATACTCCTCAGTATTTACCCAAGAAAAATTAAAGCAAACATCCATCCAAAGACTTTCACACACATATTCATAGCAGTTTTATTTGAAACAGTCCAAACTCAGAAAGAACTCAAGTGAGAAAACCTGCTTGATGGCCATCAAGTAAATAGATAAATTATGGTATATCATACAATGGAATATTACTCTAAAATAAAAAGAAATAGTCAATAAAGACAACATGGATAAATCTCAAAATAATTATGAGTAAAAGCAGCTACACCAGAAAGAACACTTCGTATATGTTTCAATTTATACAAAACCCTAGAAAATGCAAACCAGTCTACAGAGAAAAAAGCAGACCAGTGGTTACTTGAGGATGAAGGGAGGGAGACATGGGCTACAGATGGGCACGAGAGAGCTTTCGGGTTAAATACGCTTACTATCTTTATTACAGTGATGAATTCGTGGATATATGTATTTCCAAACATCAAATTTTACACTTTGATTATAGTAGTTTATTATATGCCAATTTCCTTCAATAAAGCTGTTAAAATATTATTTTATTCAACTTTTAAACGTATAGATTTATTTAAGTTCATAATCTTCTGTTGAAAAACATGTAAAATCTGCCAATACTAGGCCTATCTTTTCCCAAGGGCAGCAATAGCTTGAATGGCAGGTGTTGCTCCCTTCCCCCACCAATTTTTTTTTTTAATCAGACTGTTCCTGAGTTTGCTTTTATTAATATCTATGGCAGAAATTTCCTTGTTTCAGTGTCAGTTTTTCTCCCAAACTGGTTTCTTCAACTGTCATTTATATTTGTAGTCATCATGTCTAGATTTTGTTTGCTGTGGTAGAGTTTAGATAACTTCCTTAATTTTTTTCTCATCTTACTTGAGACCCGTTTGAATTATAGCTAATGGCTGCTTACTGCCTCCTATTTATTTCTTTGGCACCTAAGTGAAATGGTGTGTGCTTATATGTTATATTTGCAAGGACAGAGGAGAGAAGAATGAGTTCTAGCAGAGGGTAAGGGCAGTCTTTGTAAAATTACCCTGGAGGTCACTGAGGAATTAAATTCCCTGAGTAAATACCCTTAGGGTTTGTACTATTCTCATTTTATATAAAGACTAAGAGATTTTTTCCTTACCTGCTGAGGTTTAGTAACAGTAGATAAAGTTTTTTGCTTTTTCCTTGAATTTCATCACTGATCTGATTCTCTCTCAGTCTATTTACCTTCAAAATTTACAAGCACTGTCCCCTTACTTTTCTCAACATTGCTTTTAGGAAAGTAAAAGGGATTTAAATGTGGCATCAAACCACTTAGGATTATCAGCTGTGTTCTTTTCATGGTTAAAATTTCCAAGTTCTATCTAATTGTTGCTACTAAACTTTTGAGCTACTTTTACTCATTTTTCTTGGGGTTGGGGGCATGTATTTTTAATGATACATCCTGCGCTAATCTTTACACTGTTACTTTTACTGAGATGACAAATTAGGCCTTTATAAATGTTTAGACTTATTTTTTGAGACACATCTAAACATTTTACTTGTGATCATGTAACATGTAACATGAATTAATCTAATACATAATGGTCAAGGATTTTATTTATTGAAGATGAAATATCTTATTTTGTGAAGCAGAAACAAATAAGAATGAGTAAGATTTGTTTTACTAAAAGACAATTTTTTTTTTTTGAGTCATGGTCTCATGCTATCACCCAGGCTGGAGTGCAGTGGCATGATCCTGGCCCACTGTAGCCTTCAACTCCCAGGTTCAGTTTCCTGAGTAGCTGGGACTACAGGTGCATCTCATCACACTTTGGCTAAGTTTTTGATTTTTTTGTAGAGATAAGGTCTTGCTATGTTGCCCAGGCTGGTCTCAAACTCCTGGGCTCAAGCAATCCTCCCACCTCAGCCCAGCCTCCCAATGTACGGGAATTATAGGTGTGAGCCACAGTACCCAGTCTTAAAAAATAATAAGTTTTCCTACTTATATGATTCTTACTGGATTCCATGTAAAAACTAGCTTGCATGAGCCTTTTAAGAATTACAGAGGTAAAACTAAACAAAGTGCCTTCCAATTTAGTTATTATTCAAAGACTGATGCCTTCAGGAATAAATAAAAACTATCAAGAATAAGACCATTTTAGAAAAAGGAACCTGGGTTCAATGACTAAGTCTGATTTTGCCAAATAGTCATTTTGAACTCTTTACAATAAAGGTCTTGAAAACTCAAAAATATGCTAAATCATACATTTAAAACTAAAGCAATCATATATTCATGTGGAAGATATCTTGGTTTTTACAAATAAAATAAATGTGTTAGACCAAAAAAAAGTTTTCATGTAAATATTTAATATACAATAGAAATAAAAACATCTGTCTTCATCATAAATTAGTAAATGTGGTTAAATTACTTCAGAAAATAATGACCTAGAACACAGTTAATCAAACAAGTTTCTCAATGAGGGGGGATCCCTCATGTGTTTATTCTTACATGTTTAAACTTCAGTCACTTTCAAAAAGTACTCAGTTTGGCGCAAGATACCTGTAGAGATGCCTTTTCCACTGCTCAAAACAGTTTTGTCAATTTTGAGGCCTTTTAGTGCTTCTGTCATTTTTTGTTCCATCTCTTCCACATTGTCAAAACATTTTCCTTTGAGGATTTTTTTCATCCGAGGAAACAAAAAAAAAAAGCAGCTTGGGGCGAGATTGGGTGAATAGGGCAGGTGGGGTCCAGGAGTCATGGGTTTTTTTGGTTCAAAAACTGCTGAACACTCAGCCCGGTGTGGGCAGGTGTGCTTGTAAATCATGCACCATGAAAGAGGCAAAGGCATGGAACCTCAAAAAAAAAATCACAAGTTGAATGCAGCCCCTCACAACAACGCTAGCTGGTAAACTGCTGCTGATGGGTTTCACTCACCTAGTGGAAGAAGCCTTATTGCAAGGGGGCTGCCCTCCAAAAACAATTCCATTTTTTTTGGGTCCCCCTTTGTACAGCACAAGAACCTATAGAACTTTTTGCTAGTATAGACATAGAAGTTGAACTCCATGGGGATTTTGACTCAGTATAACAAAGATTCTATAATTCCATAAATGAGACCTTTATTTTAAAGAAAGGGAAAAAATCCAGTAAAGCCTTAATACAGAAACAATACTTACCAGTACCGGAATTTTGAACCTAATGTAAAATAATGTGCAAAAAAATTCTTTTGAGGTGGAAGTGGTCTGTCCAAACGGAAGAATGTGTGATGTTCTACACACGCTTTCCACAAATTTTTACATGCTCTGTAATTCACCATATTAAATCCCAATAATGTTTCTCTAGATTCATGCTGTAATAAATGACAAAATGCAGAGAATACCAGGAAAACGTCAGGATCTAATGCTCCATTTAATTTATTTTTGACAGATAAATTATTCTAGTATTGCAAACATGTATCGCTCTAATAATTTTTTTGCTTATACAATAAAAAGGCAGTAAAATATATTAAAAGGTTTAGAAAATATGGTTCTTGTTCAGTAACATTACAACTCTTAGGAACTTTTACTTTGGATTACAGTTAGAAATAAGTTTAAAATTTTGATACACATCTATTTTTAACACTTATTAGTTAAGATTCTGCTTCAAAATATAATTCAGCTCACAAATTAAACATTATGACATATCATCACAACTTTTAACAGTATCAAAATTTTATGAATATGTCCAGACTGTAAATAAATAAGAACATTCAGCAGCTCTTGGCACTATTATACAATTCAGAATTTTATATAATTAGCACTAGAATAGACTCATTTCTTTAATTTTCTTGACAACTTTGGAACAAATTACTAAATAATTTAATTGAAGTAATCCATATATAGCAAAGTTCACACCCCATACAGTACAGCTCTGATTTTATGCAACCATTTAACCTCCACCAGACCAAGAAAATGGATCATGACTACCATTTCAGAGGTATCCTTTGTCTCTTCTTTCTACCACATTACCTTCCAAAAGGTAATCACTTTTCTGGCTTTATCTCCATAGATTAGTCATGCTTGTTCTGAAATTTACTGTATATACAGGGAATCAAACAGATGTGTCTTTAGGTCTGGCTTTTTTGATTCAATGTTATTTTTTGGATATATATCCATATAGTTGTGAAACAGTTATTCACTCATGCTCATTGTATTCTATTCTAATGAATATTCCACAGTCTATCTACTTTACTGTTTACAGATGTTTGATGTTTCTAGTTTGGGGATATAAGAATAAAGTAGCCATGCATGTTCCTGCAGGCTGTCTGGTGTACATGCATACACATTTTGTTGCTGGGTCGTAGGATGTATATATGTTAAGCTTTAGCAGATAATCCCCAAAGGTCTTCCAAAATAGTTAGGTCAATATACACTTCCTCCCACCAGTAGTCTATGCTCCACATACTCACTAATCATTTATTAGTCTTCTCTCACTTTATTGTTGCGGTGGGTATGTAGATATGGCACATGTTGGTTATAATTTGAACTCCCTGATAACAGATGAAGTTCAAAATGTCTTCATGTTAACAGTTATGTTGATAACTTTATTTGTGAACTGTCTGTTGAAGTCACTAGCTTATATTTCTATTGGGTTTAATACAAAACCAAGGACTTGAATGTGTGTGTATGTATTACATACATGTTCTTGCTATTTCACTGTTGCCATTTTAAGTTTTTGCATTGGGGGCTGATTCTGTCACCCAGGCTAGAGTGCAGTGGCATAATCATGGTTTACCACAGCCCCAACCTCCTGGGCTCAGGTGATCCCCTAAGTAGCTGGGACTACAGGCACATGCCACCACACTCAGCTAATTTAAAAACATTTTTTTTTTGGTAGAGGCAAGGTCTCACTATGCTGCCCAGGATGACTGTTTCACTATTCATGAACTGAATTATTAATTTAAGCTCGAGTCAAGCAAATTTTAGATTGATTTAAATAATCAATCTTTTCTTTGAAAGTTAAAAAGGTTTCTTTGTCCTGTTAAAGAAATATTTGCCCATCAAAGGTCATGAAGATATTTTCCATGAATAAACCACAGTAAAATGTCAATGTATAAAGTAATAAACTCTCATGTCAGAAAGTAATATTCTTAAAACATCACTTCTTGATTATTAGAAAATTAAATCTTAATTATGGTTAGCAGTTGTGTTATTTGCACTAACATATGCAGTTTACATGTTGTACCATAAACCATAAACATGCAAAGTAACAGAAAATATCTCACAGTCACTATGAAGCAATAATGCTTCTCAGTATCAACAAGATCTAAGATGCATGTATATTCCCTCTTTTTTGATATCGGGTATAACTTTAAAGAGTCTATATGTCATTTTAACATTCTACCAATTATATTTGGAATGAAACACATTTTTTTCAGTTTCAGATAAGTACATTGTATGAAGTTTGGGTACTTTAAAACAAAGAGATGTTTTAGAGAGAAAACACTAACAAGACAATCTTCTGTAGAGTATGCCTGTACATTGACATTTTCTTCCCCTCACATCTGATAGGTTGGGACATGTGCTGATGTCTCAACACGGCCTGAGGGAGGTGTATCTCACAAAATAGCTTGAAAACCTAATCATCATATTTATGAACCACAAAAACATCTCTGTATGCTGTCTTTAATCAATTGTTAGTTAACTTTTTGCTGTTATTACTTGTGGATAAACACATTCTTAACTAGTACACTACCCTAGAAAATGACTACGAGGGTTAAATGACATGAAAATGGTTGGTCTATTACCAGGCATACAGTAAGCTCTCAATAACTGTTAGATAAAATAAATATTATCGTTAACAACACTAATACTATAATGGGAGGCAGTTTAGAAAGGCTGACTCTTACAGTGCCACCTACAATTACTTTATGTGACTTATTTTCCTGTTCTTTAGTTTCCAGATAACAAGATTTTTATATTTTAATCATCTAAAAATTTATTGAAACATGTACAACAATGTTCATTAGCTGCATTAGTCATAATATCCACAATCTGGAAATTCCCAAACTGTCTACTAATAGAAAAATGAGTAACTAATTTATAGTATATATTTATTCAGTGGAATATCGTAAATAAATGGAACTGATGCTACGTGCAGTAACATGAATCCCATAAAAAATGCTAAGGGACAGAAGACAGACAGTAAAGAAAACAAACTGTTTTATTTCACTTTTTAAAGTTCAAAGAGAAGCAAAAGAATCCATGGTCATACATAATGGAGTAATGTTTCCCTTTGGAGTAATGTTTCCCTTTGGTCATACATAATGGAGTAATGTTTCCCTTTGGAGAAGTGGGCATTAGATCCAACAGCAATATTGTTAGCTACTGAGGTGGTGGTAATGTTCTATATATTAATCTAGGAGATGCTAATATGAGTATGTTTACTTTATCAAGTTATATACTTAAAATATCTATTCCGTTTCGTATTATGTTTTATACCTCAATAAAAATTATCTTAAAAAATCCTCCATATTTTGTGAACATAAATAAGAAACTATAGGTTATAGTCACTTAGTAGATCAATATCCTGTGATAAAATGCATCTGATCCAAAGACATTTTTCTGGTTTCAAGTACATTTTACACATATATACACACACAGAACAGTCTCAAAATCTGCATTAATTTGTCAAGATTTATAAGATTTCTAAAAAATAATACAAATCTAATAAAAAGCCTAGTTTAACCTGATGAAATAGATAAAATCATTTGCAAAATGAAACTGTTTCCATGATAACTCAATTTGTCACCCTTAATATATATGAAAAGCAATTACCACTCCAACACAGGGAGGAAATTTGCTGTAAGTTCATGAACTAGGAACTAAACAAACATTCAACTCTCATAAAATTAAATGAGTTTACATATGAAAGGAAGTACTGTAGATTTATTAGAAAAAAGAAAAAAAGGATATATAATATGCTCAGTTACTATCCTCCATGCTCAGTTACTGTCTACCCTGAGGATTGTTAATGAACATCATGTGTGAAAAAAGTTTCCAAGTTCAAGAGGCAGCAGAAGGGATGTCTGGAAGAACTTTAACACACTGGAGAAATAGATATATTTTGCTATAAAAAAGTGAATTCATGACCTCAGCAGACAGTTATCAACAGAATTAATTGCACTTTCACTTGTAGTCAAAGAAAAGTTTTGTCATGAATGAATAGGAATTTCTTAATCATATGAATAATTAGATCAGAACTTACCAATTCTTTTCTGAGTTGAATAAAAAACTGTTTGCACTTAAAAGAAATTTTTACAATCTTCAACCTGAACAAAAGAGAATAAACTGGAGTAGTATTGGATAAACATAAAAATTAACACATTAATAAAAAATACAAAAATAATCTTTTAAATTTATATTTACTAATATTGAAACATTTATCATCTATACATACACACAGTACATAAAGAATCATAAGTTTTTGATGTTTCATGTAAAAATAATTAGAATCTGTGTTCAACTGAGGAAGATTTTGTCAGACTATCTACTGTGAATTATACATTTCCAAACTTTGTATATCCAGAAATACTTTAAAAAGTTACAAATTAAAATTTCACAAAATATTATTAACATAATTGTTTAGTCTCTAAAACCATAAGCAATACTTGAAAGAAATGCTAAAATTTCATAGTTTTATGCAAGACCCAAAAAACATTTTTATTTAATTTTAAAAAGGATACCATTTAAAAATTTTATGTTCAATATTGCCTTTCTTCTTATATGAAACCCATATAAGACAATAAAAGTTCTCAAAGCCTCACTAGTATAATCAATATGAGCCAATTGTACAAATTGTCTCATTGTAACCATAAGACCTAAGTGTAATAAGACCAAACTTGCTTTGGAATCTTGTCCCAATTTTCTGAGTAAGTGTTTTCATGGCAATTCTGTTTGGATCTTCAGGACTCATGGTCCTATTCATCCAAGAAGCTCTCAGCATTCCCAAAGAATAAATTTCTCACACCTCAATCACTTGAGGAGGCAAATGCATGAGTCAACTTCAAGTATGCATGTTTAGAGTGGAGAAAAAGAAATATGCTGACGTTTCTGGTTTGGAAAACTTTATGCTCCTTTCAGGTCCTGAGCTTTCACTGGGAAGGGAAATAAGAATATGGAAAAATTCTATCATAGACAGAGGGCATTATTTCCGGCAAAAAAAGACTTAGTAAAATATGGACTATACTTATGGAAAAAAAGAGACAGATGCCTCAATTTAAAAAAATCCATGAAGACAACATATATATTTAGAAGTTATAACATTAATTTTCATCAATTATCATATAAACAACAAATAAAAACAACAAAAAACTCCATTTTTTTTGAGTTGGAGTCTCACTCCGTTGCCCAGGCTGTAGTACAGTGGCATGCTCACTGGCCACCCCAACGTTGACCTGCTTGGCTCAGGTGATCCCCGCCTCAGCCTTCCAGTTAGCTGGAACTACAAGCGCGCGCTACCGCCCCCAGCTAACTTTTGATTTATTGTAGAGAGGAGGTCTCGCCAAGTTGCCTAGGCTGGTCTTGAACCCACAGGCTCAGGCAACCCACTCGCCTCGGCCTCCCAAAGTGCTGGAGTTACAGGCTGAGCCACCGAGCCCGGCTAATTTTAGGTATATCTCTTATAAACAGTATACAGGTTGATTTTTTAAAAAAAGACATGCTCTTGCTATGTTGTCAAGGTTGGTCTTGAACTCCTGGGCTCAAGTGATCTTCCTGACTCAGTGTCCTGACATAGCTGGGAATACAGGCATATGCCACTTACCTGATTTAGATTGGCTTTTAAAGTCCAGTTTGAATAATTCAAAAAACGATAGATGAAAGACTAATAAGCACATGGAAAGATGCTCAACATCATTAGCCATCAGACAAATGCAAATACAAACTATAATGAGCAACTACTTCATATTCACCAGAATAGCTATAATTAAAAAAATGCAGGTGAGAAAGTGTAAAAATTGAACCCGCATACACTACTGGTACAAATGTAATATGACGCAACCAGGTCTGAAAAAAAAGTTTAGCAAATGTAATGGGTGTGGTGGCTCAAGACTTTAATCTCAGCACTTTGGGAGAGGCTGAGGCAGGAAAATCACTCAAGTTCAAGACCAGCCTGGGCAACAAAATAAAAAAATTAGCCAGGCGTGGTGGCGCACACCTGTAGTCTCAGCTACTCAGACAGCTGAGATAGAAGGATCACCTGAGCAAGGCCGTGGCTGTGGTGAGCCATGATTGTGCCAGTGTACTCCAGTTTGGGCAACAGAGTTAAACTCTGACTCAAAAAATAAAAAAACAGACCTAGTAATTCCACTCCTATATATACTCAAGACAAATGAAAACATATGCTTACACAAAATCTTGTACATAAATATTCATAAGCAGCTACTATTCTTAGTAGCCATAAGGTGGAAAAACCCAACGAATCGAAAAATAGTATGTGGTTTAACCTAAGGATGGAAGACTCTTCAGGAATAAAAGGGAATGCAAAAGTGATACATACTACAACATGGATAAACTTCAAAAATATTATACTAAATGAGAGAAATCTATCACAAAAGATCACACAGGAAATGACCTCATTTAATGGAATATAAAGAATAGGGTAAATCTATAGAGAAAGTGATTAGTGATTGCCTATGACTTAACAGTGGGTGACAACATGGAATACAGAATTATTACATAGTTGATAAAGCAGCAGGGTCAAGAGCATTGACACCAATTTGGAAAGAAGTTCTACTGCAGGTAAAATTCTGTCAAATGGCATCACATCCTACAGAGAAATTTTTTATGAAAGAATCATTCAATGTGGCAATCTTCATTGCTTGCTATGATATTCAGTGTGGGTTTGTCATATATGGCCTTTATTGTGTTAAGGTCTGTTCCTCCTATACCTAATTTGTTAAGGGTTTTTATCATGAAGGAATGCTGAATTTACTCAAATAATCTTTGACTACTGAGATGATCATATGGCTATTTGCTTTCATTTTGTTGAAGTGATATATCACATTTATTGATTTGTGTATGTTGAACCATCCTTGCATCTTTTGGATAAATTCCAATTGATCATGGTATATTATCTTTTTGATGTGCTGTTGAATTTGCTTTGCTAGCTGAGGATTTTTAAATTTACGCATATCAGGGATATTGACCTGTCTTTTGTTGTTGTTGCCGTGTCCTTGCCTGGTTTCAGTATAGGTCCCTGGGCAGACAAAGTGGGCCCATTCTCGAGCCCCTAAAAAGCCTCCAGTGGCTGCAGAGAGTGCCAGCCAATCGCCAGACCATCAACAGAACATGGAGGTGGTGACTGCAAGTGGAGCATGTCTGTCCTCAGGCCCCTGACTGCTTTGTGAATGTCCCGACGTTGTGGGTAGGATGGGTTGATCTCTAAGCTCCTGAATGTGACAGGCACTGGCATCCAGAAGAGTCCTGTCTTCAGGCCACAGATGGTATCACTGGTGGCTGGGGGTAGGAGAAAAGGATCTCCAGGCCTGCTCAGGTGGACCAGTCCTCAGACTCACTGAAAATGTGAGTAGGTGTAAGGTGGTCCTGTTGCTGGAGAACGCAGAGTTGCCAGTGTGAGTGACCCCAGGCAGGCACCTCTCAGGCTCTGGTGAGCACAAGCTTCATCCTCCTTTGTTCCAGGAAAGCCTTCCTAGAGTGCTGCACCTTCTCTCCCAGGGTGAAGGATACTGCATGAGCTAGAGTGCTGAGGGCTCGGCCACACTGCTGGGTGCAGTTAGCATTGCAACCCTGTAGTATTCTTTGTGGACATGGGAGGCTGTCAGTGGGGTGTGAGGAAGTGGAGATGCAGACTTTGTTGGGCTCCAGGGGAAGACATATCTTGATGGGTACTGAGATCTCAACATGGCACTGTGTGAGGCTGAATGGCTCTTAGGGAACATGTGGGGGCCAGTACAAACTCCTTATGTGAAGTAATGCTATGGTGTGGATGCCAGTAGTTCCCTATGGTAGTCTCAGGGCCCATTAGGGCCAGGGGACGTCTTATGGATAGAATCACATTAGTCTGTGGTACAAATGTGGACTACTGAAAATCTCTCATTTTCCTTTTCCCCATGATGGGCAATTTCTTCTGACTCTCAGCTGATTTTGGCTGGGTTGGCTTATTTGCTCCCCTCTCATTCTATGCTCCAGAGATTCTCTTGTCACTTCCCTGCTGAATTCCAGTGTTTTCTCTTAAGCATTCTATTTGATATGTTTATCTACTGGCTCTTTTAGTTCTTCTTTGTGGAGGAGCCAAATCCTGGTAGACTCTAGTCAGCCATTTTGAAGCTTCTTCTCTGCTTTTAAGTAGATCCAGATTTGTTTTATATTATTTTCCTTTCCTCTGGAGAACATCTTTTAACATCTCTCACAAGGCAGGTCTATTGGAAACAAATTCCCTCAATTTTTGCTTGGGTGTGAAAATCTTCTGAAGGAAAACTTTGCTAGATATAGACTTTCAGGTTGGTGGGTTTTTTCTTTCAATGCTTTTAAATATTTCACTCCTCTTCTTGCTTACATGGTTTCTGAAAAGAAGTCCAACATCTGTGTAACAGGTGTTTTCAAAGTTTTTGCTTTTTTCAAGATTTTATCTTTCTTTTTGATTATCTGCAACGTGAATGTAATATGTATAACTGTGAATGTTTTTGGTATTTAACCTGCTGAGTGTTCTCTGTACTTTCTGGATCTGTCATAAAAGTTTGAAAAACTACCAGTCACTATTTATTCAAATATTTCTTCTCTTCATTTCTCTCTTCTTTCCTTAAGAGATGAGGTCTTGCTCTGTTGTCCCGGCTGGTGTGCAGTGTGCAACGATAGCTCATTTTAGCCTCAAACTCTTGGGTCCAAGGGATCCTCCTGCCTCAGCCTCCTAAGTAGCTATGACTACCGGCATTGCCACCCATCATGCCTGGCTTTTTTTTTTTCAAAATTTTCTGAAGAGACAGGGTCTCACTGTGTTATACAGACTGGTCTCAAACTCCTTGTGTCAAGATGTCTTCCTGCCTTGGCCTCCAAAGCACTGGGATTACAGACGTGAGCCACTGCGCCTGGCCCCATTTCTTTCTTTATTCTCCTTCTGATATTCCCTCTACATATCTTAAATTTTTATTGTTTTTATCATTTTTTTCTGTTTTTCAGTTTTTGAAGTTTCTCTTGACATATCTTCAGGCTCACTGATTCTTTCTCCTGTATTATCTACTGTTAAGACTATCAAAGGTACCCTTTATTGTTGTTGCAATGTTTTTGGTTTCTAGCATTCCTCTTTGATTCTTTCATAGAGTTTTCACCTCTCTATTTACATTACCCATCTGTTCTTGTGTTTTGTATTTTCATACATTTTTTTCTTACTACATTAATTATAGTTATTTTATTTATTATCATTATCTTTTTTATTATAAAGATGTGGGGTACAATTTAGGGTTAGGTATACAAACATTGGTTATGCAGGTACCCTTGTTGATGAGGTATTCCCCTCCCTCCCTCTAGCAGTTTCTCTCAACTGCCAATCCCACCCCTCCCTCCTGACAGTTTCCCATTACTGCCAAACGCTTCCCTATAGTATTATAATTGTTCAAGGTCCGCTTATGAGTGAGAACATATGGTACTCTGTTCTTTATTTCTGTGATGGATCACTGAGTATGATTGACTCCAAATCCATCCAAGTTGCTGCAAAGTCCGTATGTTTGTCCTTCTTTATGGCTGCATAATAGCCCATTGTGTATATGTACCACATTTTCTTTATCCAGTCCAGCTTAGATGGGCAACATGGTTTGTTCCATGTTGTTGGTACTGTGAATAGAGCTGCAACAAACATACGTGTACAAGTATCTTTTTTGTAGAATGATTTGAGTTCCTCCGGGTATATTCTCAATAGAGGAATTGCTGAGCCATATGGAAGGTCAATTTCTAGTTCTTTCAGAAATCACCATACTGTCTTCCAAAGAGGCTGCACTAGTTTGCATTCCCACCAGTGTAGAAGCGTTCCTTTTTCTCCACATCCTCGCCTGCATCTGTTGTTGTTTTATTAATGATGGCCATTCTTACTGGGGTTAGGTGGTATCTGAATGTGGTTTTGATTTGCATTTCTCTGATGATGAGTAAGGCTGAGCACTTTTTCATGTGTCTGTTGGCTGCCCGTATATATTCTTCTGAGAAGTGTCTATTCATGTTTTTTGTCCACTTTTTAAAGAGGCTGTTTTTTCCTTTTGGCGCATTTGAGTTCCCTGTAGATCCTAGATGTTAGGACTTTGTCAGATATACAGTTGGCAAATATTTTTTCCCATACTGTAGCCTGTCTCTCTGCTTTCTTGATGGTTTCTTTTGCTTTGCAGAAGCTCGTTAGTTTGATGAGGTCCTACTTGTCTATCTTATTTCTTAAGCCTAGGGTGGTCTTGAACTCCTGGGTTCAAGTGATCCTCTTGTCTCAGCCTCCCAAAGTGCTGGGATCAGAGGCAGAAGCCAACACACCTAGCCTTTGGGGATGTTCTATCAGTGACATAAGGCCCTTCCCCTAAAAAACAATGAAGTGCTCTGTGAGCTAACAGCACAGCTTTAAGAAAAGTAAAACAAACTTCTGTTTTTATAAAGCTTGATAAAAAATATTATTTCAAACTATACAATCACCAGAAGTACATAGTTATCACTCCTGTCTCCAGCACCTTCCGCTCTCTATGCTTTGTTTGGTTAGGCCTCTGCATTTTTTGCAAGGTTATTCTCAGTCATTCAGCATTAGATTTTTCTTTTCCCTCTCGGGTGTATTTTCTCCCTTCTTTGCAGGGGCCTTTCTGGGCTTGGCCTTTGGATGTGGAGGAGCAGTTTAGCAGACCACTTTGCAGCATTTCTCTGTCGTTTGACCTTTACCTTGGCTTTATCTCCTTAGCATGCCCTTCAGCCTTTCTCTTGAGCATGGCAGTGACAGTGGGGGGCGTAGGTACTGGAAGCCAGGCAACGGGGGTCATCCCATCTCTTCTTTACACTGCTCCAATCTCTCTTAGGGTTCAAGGTGCATGAAAACTGTCTGGTTCCAGAAGAGGCCATACAGTTCAATGCAGGTAAAATTTAAAGTAATTACTGATATGATGAAGATTGTATTTGTCACATTATTACATATATGGAGGAGGGCATTCCTTCTCTTGTTGTTGCTGCTGTTGCTTTTCCTGTTGTTGCTGTTCCCCTCTCTCCTCTTTTTTGTTTTTCTTTATGCATTTATCTTTTGATGGACATTTACATAGCTTCCACATCCTGTCAACTGATATCCCACTCCTGGAGAGTCTTCTTAGAGCCAGAACATGATAATGACTGCAATAATTAGAAGGAGTTTGGTTCTGTTTGGTTCAGTTTTCCTCACTGGAATGCACATCTGAAGATCACACTCCTCTCTTGAGAATTCTCAGTGCACCATTCCCAGCTTTTTGGGTGGCCTGGGGACCTCACCTTAATCTCCTTGGGGAACCTGGATGGTATCAGTTTCAAGGACTGACACCTGCACAGGTGTGAAAGGCAGGAAGGCACACTTGCAGCCAGGAGGGATCCTTGTGGGGGTCAAATGTCCACATTTCAGTGAGTTCCCCACCGACAGTGTGTGTTTCTTCTCCCGGGCTTGACCCCAGGATTCAGGTGGTGGGGTCTCCAGAGAGGAACCCGTGGCCTGCAGGAGAGGACATCGCTCCTCTGGGGTGATGTAGAGTCTAGGACGTGGAGTCACATGATCTATTATTATTATGATCTTTTAATAGAGACAGGGTCTCACTATGATGCTCAGGCTGGTCTCAAACTCCTTCCACTTTGGCCCTCCAAAGTGCTGAGATCACAGGCATGAGTCACTGTGTCAGGTCAACTAGAGTTATTTTAAATTTCTTGTATAATACTCCCAAAGTCTCTTCCAATATATTTGCATTCTGATGCTTGTTTCCTCTCTTCAAACTGTTTTTTGCCTTTTGTCATGCCTTGTAATTTTTTTTGTTAAACACAGGATATGATATACTGGGTAAAAGAAACTAGGGAAACTAGTCCTTTAGTGTGAAATTTAATTTTATGTTTACTTGGTAAAGCTTAGGGCTATTTTTACTGTGTTATAAACAAACTGTAGGTGTTAGAGGTTATGGTTTCCTCTAGTATTCTTGTTTGTGTCAGCCCTATTGTTTTTTAGTTTCCCTAGAGACTCCTAAATAGTCGAGCCTTCTAGTTATTTCAGTTGTGAACCCCTGTTATTTATTATATAGGAGCCCTGTTGATATGGTAGGTGTGGAATGAGGAGAAATCATTCTTTTATTCCACGATTAGGTCTTAATGATTTAGTGGTCTGTGTCTCTTGGTTGTGAACTTCAGTGCTTCTCAGGTCTCAGTCTTTAGGTGAGACAAGAGGGGTCTGGATTGGGTATTATTTCTTCCCTCCACCACTGCCCCCCCCAACCCCGTTAGTTAGGCTCTGATAAAATACATGTTGGGAAGGTGCTGTAAAATAATTTTTCCTGAGGGAAGGTCTTTGTTAAGTAGAATGGAAAGTTCTGATCATATTTCAAAATTCTATAAGAGAAAAATTCATAATTAATTTTTAAGTAATTTAAAAATAAATTATTTTGGTATTCTGGTAGGTTCCAAGTAAGTAAAGCATAAGTTATATCACACAAGTAATTGGACAATAAAATAGTTCAACAGTCATTTTCTTTAACATAAATTATTGTATTTCATAATGTAGGGGCAAAATGAAAGTATCCAGTTCTTACCATGGAAAGGTATTCATTCGCACCCTGTTCTTATAAATCAGAATTCCTCCTGACATCACTCCAATTGTAATTTCATTGTTACTTTGATCCTAAAAAAAACGAGACAAATCTAAAGTAATGGGCTTTGTTAGAGATATATTTTAAGAACAAAATTAGCTGGTTTTTTTCTTAACAAAACATGACATTTTCAAAGGTGGCACAAAATAATATAATATTTGGGTAATTGTTATGTGAAAAATAAAGGAGAAACTTCAAACCAATAATGCTGCATTATTAAAATTCATTAAAGTAAAAATGGTCTTAAGATTTCCCATAATTTATGACTGAAACTGATTATTTGGAGCAGGAAGTTAGAATCCAAAAATCAAAGGCATTCTCCATTTGTAGAATGATGACTTAGCATCCACTCCTCCATTATTAAAACGATTGAAATCCAATGACTAAGTAAATGTGATGCTGGTACTGCAAAAATGTGTAAAACATGGAGGAGCTCAGAGTTTGGTGAAGGGGAACCTGTAATAAGATAATGTTTACAATATAATGAGAAGTCTTATGACTTTCATAATACATTAGAATGTTACGGGAGTACACAGTGAAGATCAATTCTTAGAGAGTTTGGAAGATCTCAAAAAAGAAAATTTGAATTGTGCGTTGAAGAATGAATGAAAGTTTTCTCAATAACCCAATTTGAATAGCTAAACGCTACATTAGTGAGGAAATGAGTAGAATAAAAATATTTTGCTTAGATACTAATCAATCTTGAAATAGTTTTGCTTATTCACTTCAAACATTTTATAGGCAACCTCATATAGCAAGCATGTCTTTACCTCCTACCATTCATTTGATTAGAAGACAGAATTTATTAGTGAAAATAAAAACAAGATTGTATAATTGTCTTCCTAGAACAAATCTTTTAAAATGTAGTTTTAATAACTTCTAATCAATAAAATCTTATTAAACTAATTTGTTAGGTAGAACAATACATAACTGGTCAAATGGAACAGTCTATATTAATTTGCCTGGTTGCTCTTTTTTGTTTAGCAATAACCAGCACTAGTATCATGAGCCTAAAAAATAAGATACTAAACATATTCTCCTATCACTTCATCTGTCCCCAATCACATAAAGCATCAGAGAAGATATATGAAAAGAGAAAGAATCTGTAATACTTAAAAAAAATCTATAACATTTGAGCATATGTTATTGATGGACCAGACATTTTGAGGAATTAATGACATAAAGTGGGCAAGATATGGACAAAAGAGGCCACCCTATGTGGTGGTAGAAACAGAAACAGTCTTCAAGTACAAGTTTAGAGACAATGTATAAAAGAAATGGGGTTCTCGGCCGGGCTCGGTGGCTCAGCCTGTCATCCTGCGCCTTTGGGAGGCTGAGGTGAGTGGATTGCTGAGCCCGCAGGTTCGAGACCCGCCCGGGCAGCGAGACCTCATCTCTACAATAAATCACAAAATCAGCTGGGCGTGATAGTGCATGCCTGTAATTCCGGATACTTGGAAGGCTGAGGCGGAAGGATCGCCGGAGCCCAGCAGGTTGAGGCTGCGGTGGCCGGGAGCGGCCACTGCACTCCAGTCTGGGTGACAGAGTGAGACTCCAACTCAAAAAAAAAAGAAATGGTGTTCTCAAATTATATGTCAGGATGATCATGTAGGGAGCAGCTAAAGTAATTAGCTCCTAACCATCTCCAAACCCTACTGCAACTGGATTCAGCTGTAGGAAATAAAAGTGTGCGTAGCCTGTTTATAACACCAATTGTCAACACTAGGGATAGGGAATTAGAAGTAAGTAATTCTCAGAAGGGATGGATGGAGAACCCCAAACTGAAAAAGGCACAGTATATGCACACTGTACCTAGCTTCGTACTTCATTCCTCCTCAACCATCACCTAAGGCAGACTAAAGTAAAGAGAAATAGTATGCACAACCAGCTGAACCAGGAATAGCAAATACAAAAGGAAGTGCAAAACCCAAAATCACTGAACATTTAAAGAAAACTAATATCATTAAAGAGATGCAGAAAATTCAACAAAGAGATAAATCAATCAGGATGCTATGTTGTAGAAAAACATGTTTAAAAAATAACAAGTTCAGAAGCATGTAGAAACTCAAGTTCTTAAATTATAGATATCTAGGCTAAAGTGGCAGCTCCAAAGGCATTGCTAGAGGTGGGCAAGACATGACAAGAGACCCAACATTCTGGCCCTCAAGGACAAGAATGTTATTAATTCCAGTGTCTAGAAAACTACTTTGAGCACATTCATGTAAAATATTTTACTTTGCTTTTCTATGTATCACTTATTACTATTTAACCTTATTCATAAATTCAATGGTTTAATGGTTTTTGTTTTTACCCTCTTCTTTACTAGAGTATAAATAACCAAGAGTAGAGCTATTTGTTGGATTCTTAGGCATAAAAAAGTACTTTATACTTAGTTGTGGAAGGAATGGTTCTCTATAATGTATGTATGAAAACATCTTAGCTGTTTAGCTCAGCATGAAGGGCCTGTTTATAAACAACCATCCCACCACATTTTATCTCCTTCCTCTAGTAAGTAAAAATCTACTCTAATAGGCCATTTCCATGATGTATTTTGTGTACTCATGAGTCACTATTAATATTGCTCTCATGTCTTCTTCATGTCTGTCTGCCAAATCAAATCAAACTAAACCAAAGTCCTTCCATCTTCTCTGCAAAAACTTCATTAACCTATATCTACATCTTTTTCTCATATGCCTCTGTCTCTTAAACCACTTATCTGAAATACTTAATTACTGTAAGGACAAGGGTTGGGGTTATGTATAACAGCATCTTTAAAACTATATGTGGTTAAAAAAAAAGCCAAAACAGTTTTTTAAAATTATTTAAATTTCTAATCTGTCAGGTACTGAACTTTTGCAAAGCACACTAACATACTTTATGCCAGGCTATTATAAAAGTTGCTGAATGCTTACATTTAATTTCTGCATTTATCTCATCATGAACCAGTTATAAAAAGTTCACAGATCACAACAGTCTGTGGGTCATACTTGGAACATCAACGAACCATTATACTATTTCACATTCCTCCACAGAGCCTACATCTCAAATAAGTATTTGACTTCTGATGGTAATTTTATGCTTACACTTAGCCAGTCATACTACTAGAGAATAAGTGTGATATAATCTCAGATTACAAAAATTTGTGATGAGTTTTAAACACAGTTACCTTTGGATCTAAGATTAAATGATAATTAAAGGGGAGAATTTATAATATGCAGTGACTATGTGATTTGACAATGTAAATTCAGAGCATTTGCAAAAAAAATAAAAAGGGAGATAAACATTTTTAAAATTTTTAATTGTTTCAGTAGTAATTGATGTGGTAATTATAATTACTATTTTTAGTGTCATGTAGGATAAAGCAAATGAATAATTATAGGGTATGTGAATTATAGAACACCCTGAGTCCTCTAAGGAACAAAATATTCTGTATGTCTCAGTGTAGATACCTAGAAACAAATATAAATAGAGCCCCACTTTATATACTTAAAATGCCTAGAAACAATGACCAACCTAGTAGGAATAAGCATCCTTAACATCCAGATTGAGATTTTAAAATATAATTTTCCATTTAAAAAAATAGGGGGCTTCTTAGAGAACTGGTTGACTCCATCATGCCCATAGCAGAAAACAGACAAATGAGCCTCAAACATCTTAAAATTGTAGACAGTAATCCATCAAAGACCATTAAGATCATGTCAAAAGGACTTAGGAGCCAAAAGAAGAACCTCCAGGTGACCAGAGATGAGACAAATTTTAGCTTTAATAAGGAAAATAATGATAACATATTGCAGCCTACCAGAAATGTTTAATCTATGAGCTTAGGAACTGGGTAAATAAAAGGAAAGAATCAAGCAGTATTTTCTGTGCCTTTCCTGTTACAAATTATGGTAACTGAATACTAAAAGAAAGGAAGTAGCTCCTTATAAATTTACTTCAGCAAATAAATAAAAACAAAAATAATTAGGATATATCTATTTTGAAACTTGCAATAAATTAATGGATCTAGGCATTGAGCATAAATGGCTGCTAGCATAAAAAGAGAGCAAAAACCAGCCGGGCTCGGTGGCTCAGCCTGTAATCCCACGCCTTTGGGAGGTTGAGGTGAGTGGATTGCCTGAGCCCGTGGGTTCGAGACCCGCCTGGGCAGCGAGACCTCATCTCTACAATAAATAAAAAAAATCAGCTGGGCGTGGTAGCTCATGCCTGTAATTCTAGCTACTCGGAAGGCTGAGGCGGAAGGATCGCCGGAGCCCAGCAGGTGAGGCTGTGGTGGCCAGGAGCGGCCACTGCACTCCAGTCTGGGTGACTGAGTGAGACTCCAACTCAAAAAAAAAAAAAAAAAAAGAAAAGAGAGAGCAAAAACCAGGTATTATGCACCTCCTGAAAAAAGAACACAACAGAGATTCATCCTGACTTTGAACATGGCTCTGGATCAAGCTGTCAATTTGCAGGGGATACAAGGAACAGTAAAACATGTTGAATTGCGTTATGAGTATGTGATCAGCAAAATCCAGACCATGGGAAACTATAAGTGAAGTGATCCAGTTCTTTAACAGGTCAATTCTAAGAAGTAGAAGGGAAGAAAGAAAAATCTGTAAGATTACAAAAAAGATATTTTAATTAATTTGAGTAAAAAAAAAAATGCCATTAAACCCCAGCAAGACAAAGTTATAGTATATGTAGAAAGGCACACTTGAGTGATTAAAAAAAAAAAAATCTAGCCTAGCACAGTGGGTCACACCTGTAATCCCAGTACTCTGGGATGCTGCACTGGGAGGATTGCTTGAGCCCAGGAGTTTGAGACTAGGCTGGCCAACACAGCGAGACGTTGTCTCTACAAACAAAAACAAAAACAAAAACTAGTCGGGTGTAGTGGCATGCACCTGTAATCTCAGCTACTCTGGAGGCTGAGGATCACTTGAACCCAGGAAGTTGAAGCTACATAGGAAGGGGCTGTTATTGGGAGAAGGCATCTGAAGTGACTGACAAAGTTCTATTGCTTCAACTGGGTTGTAGTTACAAGGCTGTT